TGACAAAATGACTCAAATGCATAGTAACACACTTATTTGCATCTCATTTTATTTCCATTCAGTAAATTATGATGATTCAACATTTTCTTTCTATAATTGAATTTCATTGAGTGAAGAAGGTGCACTGACGCAGTGTGACTATTTGGCCCGTGTGTGTGTGTGTGTGTGTGTATTTTAAATACACTCATGCTGATGAGTGTGTCAGAGGGCTAGGTTCAGCTATTTCAATCAATCGAGTTTTTCTTTTCTCTGGGTTTCCTCTTAACTGTTGTTACTTGTGTTTCTGTTAATGAAGTAGTTTGGTTCATTTGTCCTGCAGCATTTAAAGACACTGTGAAAAACTTTTATTCTGTTTCCTTATTTGGCAGACGAAGTGATCTTTTTGCTGATCCCATCTTTGTATGGATGTGCACCATTGGAATATCTTCCCCTGTCTCTATTTCAAGTGCCGAACATATCATTCACGATGACATTTTGTGAAATTGTCTCAGAAATCTGTGGTGTACTGCTTCTCAAAAGTGACAGGAGACGTGCACAAAAAAATAAGTTTGTAGATGCAGCCAGTCTTCTTCCTGCCCATCAAAGACTTTGTTTCTTGGCCAAAAAAAAGTCATCACAATGAGGTTAGATATAGACGACAGATTAGACATAATCGACAGATACTGAATATGTGAGACTAGCCAACTGTATGTTATGTCTGTCACTTTAACTCTTGACCCTATTGCAACCCAGTCAATTTAACAAGTAAAGATTCTAAAGATCACCCATGTTAGAAATACCGAACTCCAACTGGTCAAGTGATAACGGACTACCTCCTGATCCCATACCTCAAATCAAATCAAATTGGTCTGTGGCATCTAACCTCTGCTTGTTGACAATGTGGCAAAAAACAGTTTGTTATGAAGATGGTAGAAAATCAGTGCAGAAAACTGAGAGAGGTCTAAAGAGCTGAATAAAAGAGGCGTCAACCAAACTGTAGAAGACAGACTTGAGTCAGACAAAACAAAGCATCAACAGATTTTCCAAGTTTCATCGCAGAATGTAAAAAGGTAATGTTTACGTGTGTTGTTTAAACTGTCAGGTTTAATATAATTATTAACAGAAAAGCAGACCAATGTTTTGACTTAACCATAAATGAAAATCGGCCTGACTTAAAACCGTGGGAAACACATAAGCGGCACTGGAGTGACAAGCGGAAGCCACTCAGACACAAACATAGACGAAAAACTAACACAGAGGGCGGGAAAGACAGAGACTATATGCACACTGGCAAACAAGTAACAGGTGGGAACGATGAGACACGGGTAAAACTAGAGACTTATCAAAAAAGGAGGATAACCATCAAGGTAAGACTAGACTTGACACAGCAGGGAACAGGACGACAAAATAAAACTGTAAACACTAGTAACTTTGAACGTGTAAAGAAATAAAAATAACCATGATAAAAACTACAAGAACTTATTGTGACAACAAGTAGGTTCATAAGAATGTATTAGTGGGGCTTAGATTTTAGCTGTTTACGTGAAATAATTTAAAATCAGTGAAACCTTGGAGTAGACTTTTGGTGCCAACTTGTTTATCACTTTAGTTTGTAGCTGCACAGGTTAATTTGGGTCACAATGTCAGGGTTATAACCCCTACTTATTTATCACTGAGTGATAGAGAGAAGAATTTTACACTGGGGTGTTTCTTTCCACAAGCAACCCAAGGTCCACATGAGGGTTTGTAGGTTGCAGCCTTTTTGGTTCTGTCTGTTTTGTCAGTTTGAATGTTGGTCTACGGTGGGGAACAGCATATGTCGCTTGCATGCATCTGTATGCACCTGCACTGTCACAGGCATTTGCACCAGCCACAATGAGAAAAAGTTTACGCACTTTTATTAAAAGGAGGAACTGGGGGGAGGGGGCATCTTAGTGATACTTTCACCGATGGTCCAGCGTGTTTAAGATCTGGGTTGCACTTTAGGTTACAGGGTAAAACCATGGATCACTGTCAGATTGTATCAGCCAGTTCTATATGAAGCCCAGTGTGAACAGCACATATCCAAAAGTAATTTCCTTGACAATGTAACACCATGCTGCTAAAGTGACAGACAGACTACTCTCTCTAAGAATCTCCTGCTTGCGCCGAGGGAATGAAAATGTGCTAAACACAGTGAAAACCAATCTCGTTTTTCATAATCATTCCTGGGATTTTCTTCGGTCTCCAAATGCAGGAGTGACATTAAGCCCTGTAACAGCAGGATAGGCCCATAGTTAGATTTGCACCCTATCAGACCACAGCCATTCTGGGAGTCCACTCAGCCTTTGCTATCAACTTGCACATTCACACATAGTACACACACCCACATACACACACACCCCAGCCCTCGCCTGAAAGCTTAAATGAACAAATAACTGACAGATGGAACATTCAAATTTACATCCCTAAACCCAAATTCACATCGCCACACACTCAAAATGTGTGTGTGTGTGTTTAAGAAGTAAATTAAAGCTCGATTTCAAATGTCTAATCAGTTAAATACGATGCAAAGAATCACATGCAAGAGGCTTAACAGTGCATGGACTTGAACGGGTCTGACATGCTCTGATTAAAAGGAGAAGATGAACGATAGATGGAACAGCTCCGAAAGTTTTAGGACCTAATTGTAAAACCTCAACCTTAGAGTGGCACTGATAGAGGGTTATTGATTACATATTGAGGTGCAGCTGCTCGACAATAAAGTTTAAGCTGAGAGTGAATGACTATGACATGAAGAGGTTAAGATTTCCATACCGGTTTCAGCTCATTTATACAAAAGATTGGCACTGTATCACATAAAACAACATCCTCTGAAAATCACATGTTTTTCGCACATGTGAGCCATTATTTAGTAAAGTACTGTATGTGTCTGTGTGTGTTTCAGTTCAAAACTTTGTCACATTAAAAACTATATGATCAAGATGTTTTGATAGCTAACAGGTGTGTATGATCTTACATGGCAACTTTTCTGTGCAATTAGTGTGTACCATATTTACAGAGCCATTTGCATCCTCCATGATGTGAACAAACTTGCAACTTAATGAGCTGAAACATACATTTAACATACATTACAAACATACATTTTCATATTAAGCTCAGATTTTTTTCTTAATCATGCTGCAGCCTACTCCTATGCACTAGCACAAAATACTAAACCAACTCTAGCCTTCAAGTACTGCTTATTCACTCATAAATATGCAGATACAATTCAACAAATGCATATAATATTCTTTCAGCAACACAAGTGATGGCAGGTTAAATCAGAAATCTCACTATTTTCAATGTGCACAACATAAAGAGTCAGTTTGTTTCCGCTCAATTTAACTTTCCATTTTTTTACTTTATATGCTTGAAAAGTTTCCAACACACAGTCACAAGCTCTACTTTTCTTGACCTTCCATGTCAGAAACCTTCTTTATTTTGGAGTTGTTTCCAAATTTGTTGTCCGTTCATTAAAACTATACTGATCCCTGTGGCAGTACTAGCTTATGCAGTGTCTACTGTTTGCAGGAGGTGCAGAAAGCTTGTAGAAAATTCCTCGCACTCCACCACAAAAATATCTCCTCTCAGTAGGTCTCAGGATTACGCCGCGCTGCAGCATGTTGGAGGCTGTTCTGTGTGTTCATTTGTTGTTCAAGCACTACTACTTACTTCTCTGTTTTTTGCTTATTTTTGGAGCATTTTACCCATCCTTGTTTTTTTGATCCACCTTTTTGCCCCTGTTTTCGCTTGCTCATGTGGATCAAGAGCTCATTATATATAGCTTGTGGCTTGCAATGACTTGAAAGGAGCAACAGGCACTTCCACTCTGTTTAGTTGCATCTCTGCAAAGTAACTGGCAGCAATATGCTGCCTGTGCTGGCAGGGATAATCCCTGCTGCTTCCAAAGTGAGAGCATGATGTGTTTGCATGTTGGACATAGCACTAAGGAAATGTGGGCTTGCATTTCTGGTACATTTACTGGAGCATTGATAGTAACTGTCAAAGACTCAGGAATAGCTGCTGAAGTGTGGCACAAGCTCAAGCTACATTGGGTTTTTCTTAATCTTGCTATGATGTAATCAGCTGTGGCTCCCAGGGAGTTTTCCTCTCCCTTGGCAGCTGACCCTGCTCCCGGACTTCTAATGATGATCAGGGCTCCCAGCTTTATTGCCCTCACACAACATTTTCTCCTCTTATCGACCCACAATTCTGGACGACTATAATTGCCAGAGCATACTTAGCAGAGCCTTTTTCGAAACTCTATTCCATTTTTTTTTTTTTACATTCAGAAAGAACAAACCCAGAAACATGTCAATCAAACAAACATGAGGACCTCTAAAAGGAAAAAATCTTGTGGCACATTGTTCAAAATTGCACGTTTTTTCTTTGACAATTCGGTCACAGGAAACTGCCTGAAATGTTAAAACATATCTTTAAAAAGCATGGTAGGGTGCTTAAGGTATGAATTTTTCCTTCAAATTTCACCAAAACAAGGCAAAAAAGACCTCACAAAGGCTTTTTTTGGACAAACAAATCACAAAGAAAGTCAGGTGACTATTAAAAGTATCACAACCATCTGGAGTGGTAGCCAAGGGCGACAGATGGGTTTACCAAACAAAGAACTTCAAATCAGGAAACCAAAGTATAGGACTTTTGTAAGAATATACAATTTAGCGAAGGCTGAAAATGTAGTCCCTCGATTTTCACAGTCGGTAGCATTTCCATGGCAACAGATTCTTGTCAGCTCCTTTTGTACATGTTAACAATAGACTGAACTTTTCAATTCAAGCTCAAGTTAAAAATTACACTGTTTATTTCTTGTAATTCTCCTTTAACTTTACATTTTCATTACTTAGCCAAGTGAAGGAGACTTCTACAGGAATATTTATCTAGACTTTACTGTCCTCATTCTTCTCTCCTTGTTGGCTTTTATAGTTCACACACCTTTAAACATTGATGTCACAGTTTCTAATATTGTTCTCATTAATACTTAATAATAATAATAATGCATCAGATTTCATATAGCGCTTTATCAGAGACCCTCAAAGCGCTTTACATTGGATACATCATTCATTCGCTCACACAGTCACACTTTGGTGGTGGTGGAAACGTGGCTGCCATTCTGCACCTACGGCCTCTCCGACCACCACCACACAACACTCACAATCATACACCAGTGGAGGACACACACTGGGAGCAAGGTGGGTTAAGTGTCTTGCCCAAGGACACAACGGACAGACTTGGATTAGGGGGGAATCGAACCGCCAACCTTCCGGTCATTGGACGACCGCTCTACCTCCTGAGCTACTGCCGCCCTTCTGCCTACTTCTGCTCACAGCTGAGGTTACTTTGCGGCAATAGGCACATTTGAGATGCATCAACTTGCACTGCAGCCGTTGCCCGGATTGCAGGACAGGATTTTGCTCTCGGAGTTAGTTAGGGCTTGCTCTCACATTTCTGCCAAGTAACGGTCATAAGTTCCCAGCTCTCCAACAAACCTGAGACAAAAACTAACAAGTATTACGCAATGTGGGCCTACGAATCAACTTCAGTCTTCATAAACTTTTAGGATTAAAATAAGTAGGCAAATTCTGCATCAACAGTCTTGTACATAGGTTATATCTATTTTGATGTAGTATAATGAAACAGATGGTGGAGGACGATGATGGTAGCAGTGTCAGCGATCACTTCAAATGATAACAGGTAATTACTATAATAGAAAGAAAGGGTTACAATCACGTAAATATCCTACAGCAGCATAATTACAGTGACGGCTGATTACTTTATGAATGAGAGCTTGGTATGTGCAATTACTGTACAAGCTTGTTGAACCTTACTCTGCGTGGAATAATAGAGAAGGAGAAAAGGGACTGTTTGCATGTCTTTATGGGTTATATTTGCATTTTTTGTGCAACTATTACAATTATGTATAATTACACTATTGTAGAAAAAGAAGTGAAGTTTATCAAACAGAAATAACCCAATCAAAAACAGATTTAAGTAAGAACTATAGCTCTGCTCAGTTTGCAGTGGCTGTAATAAATGGACCATTAATAGCAAATATGATGAATGCTGCTTGGATGAGTGACTGCAGGAAAAAGTGGCTTTTTCTGTGAGAAACACTTAATAACAACATAGGCTCTTCAACATTAAATTGGACAGACTCTACACTGTAACTGGCTCCATCACCTCATTGCCTGTGGCATCCTGATAAAAATCACTTAAGTCATTGATTAAAATGTAAGCAGGTTAATGCTAGAGGTGACTTCTCCTGCTTAGCATAATTTGCTTATTACACAGGCAAATAAACAAACCATTGATCACAGAGGTGTCTGGCAGAAAGTAGATTAGATGGAAGGGACCAGGATTAGGAACATGTGTATTACACTACAGCAGCTTGCTTGAAATGGGTACAGTGAACCGTGGCCTATCAACCATAGACACACAGTGTATGCCCAGCACTGACCGATTGGGTGTTTGGGTCTTCTAATAGTGGAGTAACAAGTATTTAATAAGATCAGCCTGGGTCAAACTGAAGGAAAGAAGCTTCTTTAGTGAACACAGAAAACGATTCACACAAATACTCACAACTGTTTTCCTAACACTTATCTTTTTCTCAGCTGTTATTTCTTAGCATTGCAATCACGTCCAGCAGCAGTGATGTGGATGTGGCTGTAAAACTGCCTCTCACACACTGCAAAATATTAAATCTGGACAGGTGTCGAAGAGGCTTGCGATATAGGGACAGGCAGAAGCAGGGGTCAGAGCAAGACTGCTGAACTGCAGATGTCAGGATCATCTTTGTTTGACATGGACGGCCTGTGTGCCTCCGTTCTATTTTACACATCAGACTGCAGCCATTGCTGCAGGGAGAGGACATGACACGACTCCTGCTCGGATTTTCAGTCATGAACGTCTACCTTATTCTACTTGGGAAAAAAAATTACGGGATTTGATCTAAGGGCTGGTATATGCATGTGCATTTGTACTAACCCAGAGTTGAACTTTGCATGGTTGTAGTGAAAACTACATTCTAAAGAAAAAGTGTGCACAATATTTGACAAAGAAAAAATTTCACTTTGTAAATATGTGTAAATTAACACTTTATATAAACCCACCTCTTATAAGGATCATAAGCACAGTTATCAAGCCTTATAAATGCATCTATACAGCTTATAACAACCTTCTCTTGAATAAGAGAGGCAACAAATGATATAAAATGAATACACAAACACTGTAAACACGGCTGCAGCGCATCAGTGTTTCTCCTATGCTATCAAAGGTCTCTTGCAGGACATTGGCATAGTGCGATGTGTGCCACGTCCACTGATGCCGTCATGCATCTCACCAAACAGAGAGAGAATAAAAGAGCTGTATTGGAGTGCATCAGCCATTGCATTTTGGACAACACTGCGCATAAACTGATCTGGTCCTTACCGGTAATCTCTGCCAACTGTTGGGTAACACCTGGTAGACAGAGGTGTCACATCCAGACATCTGTTCATACTCGAGTAATCATCCAGGCAATTTATTATATCATTAACAGCCAACTGCACAAACACTGCTCCTAAAAGAGAGTCACAATAGCTGCAGACACTGTGTAGTTAAAGACAGACAGGCACTCATAACAGCAGCAGAAACATTGTGTACAACCCGCTGTTGACTCTTAGTTCAACTGTTATGTCTTGACATTAAAAGAGAGACGGCGGATAAGCCATCACTTTCTGACAGTATTATGAAAAGCCCTGGTAGCTTTTTCTTCTCAGACACAAACCACCAAACAGTCAAACACACATCTCCGATTTATTCTTTCTTGTTATGGAGCGCTTGGTTCGCACATTACACTAGGTGTGTGATGAAGTGGGGACCCTCTGTTTGCCTGAGGCATCCTCACATCTGATGGTTTGAAGACAGAGAGCTCCTCTCTCAGGCTTTGTTTGGGGGTTTCGGAAGTGTGAAAACTTGAAAATCTGTTTACCCTTGTGTTGAGGGTATGTCCTGGGACACAACAACTTTTAGGCTCAGTGTTGATCTTGTAAAATGCTATAAAACCCAAACACGTCTCCAATGAATTATGTCTGAATCTGTGCTTGTGATTTATGTGGTGATTTACGGTTTCAACTTCAATGGTGCAAGCAATCTTGAATTATTAAATGATTCTGTTTCTGTGTATGACCTCAGCTCCAGTGCACACTTTAATATTTCCAATCAAAAAACTTTAGACCTTTAGCGAAGAAAAGTAAGTGTAGAGGTTTGCCGTTTGATATTTCCACTTCATACTCCATGTTCCAGTCTTGCATCATTTTCAAAATAGAGGCCTCTGGCATGGCCTCCTAATCCACTCCTCTCTAAGTCTTTTTCTTAGAGAGACTGGAGTAAATGTTCCTTTCAGTTCTGAAATTGGTAGCTCAAACCTCAGCCTTTATCAATGTCCTCTCCAAATTTTACAACAGTGCCTCCATGCCCAGTGCTTTCTTTTAGACCTGAACAACATACAAAGCAGTTGACTGGGCCAAGCCGCCAGAGTAAGTGTGAGAGCAGTAATTGCCTTTTTATTCATGCAACTGATGTTGCTGGTTTCAGTTAACAAACAATATGTGCCATGCATGTTCATACCACTTGAGCAATTTCAATGTGTGCTTTGTGCTCAAGTGTTTGGAATTAGATGCCACTGATGCATTAATGCTTGGACATATGTGTATTATAAGGAAAACTCAGAAAATACCAGTGTCAGAAGCATCCTGATTGCTGTTTGAAGTCCAGAGTAGCATTGTCTTCAAGTATGTGATTGTGTGCAGAGAGAAAGTCTGTGTGAAGAGAAAAAGTAGTGATGCAATCACCCGCAACACAATCAACTTCCTGGTTCCAAGACAACAACTTGCCCCTATAGTTAATCTATAGAAATAGACATGTGCATGCAAAGTAGTCAATAATGCATGCTTTTATCTCCAACACTATTAATACTGTTTGGGTTTGAAAACAATGGCAGCCCACGGGTGGAAACAGAGTCCTTTGTCATGAACTAACACCAACAGCCCCAAGAGGTGGTCTTGTCCATGGCTTTGAACGACCAACACTGACTTCTTATCAGCTAAATATCTCCCATCCATCAACACAGGCAGTGCGTCAAATCATTGTCAATTCCATATGAGTCTTTTCTCGGCTGCATTTGCTGTTTTCTCAGTTCTGGCTTGGAAAGAAAACCTTTGGAGTCAGATACATGGACTTTAACAATCAACTTCAGAGGCAATAAAGAGAGCAACACTAAATTGAGTGTGTGGCAAAAAACTCCACTGACTGTCCGTCTGACAACATCCACATGTGAAGAGCAATTACTGGGCACCATTGTACTACAAACAAGCATATGGAATTATAGTATGACCGCTGTATAATGGGCAGAACAGGCTTTTCTTTTGTCTTCTTTGCTTTTGTGTTCGGGAGTATGTCAGAATGTGCCAGAGAAGTGGTTTGTTGACATTTCAATATCTAGAACTGATCAGATTGCAAAAACACAGAAAAGGTCCTCTCATTTTCCGGCTAAAGAACAGCGTCTGCTTCAGAATAACAGCAACACTATGTTTGCCAGCTGAACAATTACAAAGCAAAGTAGAAGCTCTGCGAAATGTAAAATTTCATTGGGAGCGACATCCAACCATGATTCTTGACCCTATTTAATGCCGCAGAGCTTCCACTCAGGCTAAATAGCTTCTGGGGTTGGTTCCCGTAATCCTGGTTGAGGCTCAGCGGGTGTTTGGCCCAAGCATTTGGAGTTGACGTGGTAGTTCACTTACTTACACTTGGGTCCTTCAAGCAAAAGATTGCAGCCTGTACACCACAGGGAGCCAGAGATTGATGCCTTGGGTTGTGTGCAAGCCAACCCCCATCACTTGATAATGGAAGCCCTGCTGCTGCCTTTACCAGGTGAACAAAGGAGGTAAATCCACTCATATGAAGTCATTGTACATGCTTGATGGCATGAATGGCTTGATTCAATGTTCAGGCTTAATATTTTTTGGAATTTAACAACAACTATTTCTGCATGTGTTTGGCCATTTCTGCAAACTTAACAAAAAAATACATGTTCAACTTTTCTTGGCAATAGATTTAGTAAATGTATTTTTCACATAAAGGATATAACAAAATGACACGGGAACTGAGCAGATTAAAACGCTCCAAACTCCAACATCTCAGATGGAGTGCATGTGACTGCAGATTTTGTGCTTCACCTGTCTTTACCTTGGGGCAAGGGCAAAGCCAAGGCAATGGTATGATACAGACATTAGTGGCTCACCTCAGCACTGCAACTATATGGCCAGCAGTCTCATGTTTTTCCCCAAGGCTACATCCAGGCAGTGTTTGTCCAGAAATTGAAGTTTATTGCCACCTGGTTTTCTTTCAAGAAAACAAGAAAGCAACAGAAAAAAGAAACTATTCTTTTTATCTGAGGTATTCAGACTGATCTAGTCAGTTACATTCAAATGCAAGATGTAAACCACTTGAACTATTCCCTTTTAGCTCATGTTATTCCTGAAAATCATTTTTCCCCATATAAATAATATAAATATACTTCTAGTATTACTATGCATTAGCATCTCTTCAACACACGTTGAGTAACCTTAATCTCATGTCTATCCAGGGATGGTGAATTTAAAAAAACCTGAAATATACTGGGTTTAAACATTTCCAGCAGACTGAAAGTAGAAGAAGAAACTAGCAGAGTGTTTCTAGTTAAGATGGGGGTGGCATCCAGATAGCTGACTGAGATCAGACTGTTCATTATCAGAGTTTTCTAGTCTCTACAGAATTCAGTCCTTTGTCAGAGCTTCAGTTTTATCACAAGTGCAGAAAAACCCTAAATTAACTCAGTCATTGTGGCTTGAAACTGTTGGATTTTTGTTTCTTTGAGGAAACACTTCCATTTACATTTGACAATGACTTCTAATGAAGGTTTTAAAAGCTCGAAGTTAAACTCTTTTAGCTTAACAGGCAGCAGCCAGCCTGACACAGCTAATACCCACAAGACTAAAAATGTTTTGGCCTTTTCTGAGCCTGTGAGCGTTGACTCCACTTCCGTTAATTGGCAGAATATGTATGTAGCCTGCAGATTTATCCATTTATAGAAGTGGTGCTTAATGTCAGTAAATGTTTTGGCCTTTTCTCTGCAACACTTCTGTCTTGCATATACATTATTTGACACAATAGACATCCAGGAAGAGCGGTACACACAAAAGCGAGTCTGACACCCAGAGCTGGCAAAACAGAAGTAACTTTGATTGCAATTGTATCACCAGCACCTGCTTCTATGAAATCTCCCTCCTTCATATACACCCTCCTTTCTCTACATTGCCACGTGCACATGCCTTGACATTTTGTTTCCTAGTTAGCAAAAACAGATGTTTCTCTGATAGTTTGTCATTTTCTATGGCAACTGCTAAAAACTGTGTTGACTGAGGTTGGAAGATTCAGAGCGATGTACTTCTACAGAACTGTATAGGACTGAACAATCTGTCCAACCTGCCAGCTGTCTGAAGCCTCAAAACAGCAAATCATGCCTGTATGAGAAAGTGCACGCTTCTGAAACTTTTCTCTCTACTCAGACAGTCATGCATCAAATTGCTGTGTGTACTGGGCGTGCTCACAATTATTCAAAGGTACAGTGTGTGGAAATGGGAATATTTAAAGATACTTAGCAGTAAGATTCAAGACGAATTTGTTCTCCTGCTTAAACTGTGAAGTACTGCTGTCCTTTAAACACAAGAAACAAGTGATGCATACTACATATAGTCCATCATGTACAGTATAGTTTCCTACAATTGAAACTAGGGCTGCATGATTTATCGTTTGAGCATCGTCATCGCGATGTGCATGTGCGCAATGGTCACATAGCAGAACGTGCGATGTAGGAAGCGAATCAACTCATCTAATTTTATGGGTAGCTGACTGAGATACACTACATGTGACCCTGAGTGCTAAGCAGCGATCCACCAATCATATTCGCTCTTTACTCAGCTGCCAACCAGACTACCCAGCCAGCTGTCAATCAAAATCAAAGAAGAGGAAACCACGCCCCTGCACATGGCCTGCGCATGAAGTGAGTCACTGGCGCTGCCAGTGTTGCGCCAAGAAACGCATGCCCACCGAGAATTACTTTCAGAACATTACTTATCACTGTTTAGCCTCACAAATAAGAATTATATGGGTTTTAAATTGTAGATTTTTGTGGACCACTCTAATATAAGTGGTGCACGTTTTCCTAGATGCACGCAATTCTCGGCAGGCATGCATTTCTCGGCACAACACCGATATCAACAACAACAACAATTGCAAGATGAGCAACGAACAAGAGAAAACCACTGAAAATGAAGACTTGTTGCCAAATAGAAAAGGAACTTAAGTTAACTGGAATTATTTCATTTACAAGAAGGATGATGCCGATCAATAACATCCCAGCACAATAAAAGCTAAAAATATCTCTGAGACAGACAGAAGCCATTCCACAAACTTTCACAAAAAGAGGTAAGATCAGTGCAGGTTAATTGTCCACAAGATTTCAGCAGTGCAGCACAGCGTAAAGTGCTATGAAGGTCATCTGGTGAAAATTCCTGTATTTTTCAATATCACAATTTAAATCGCAGGGTTGAAAAAAAATTGCAAGGTTAGTTTTCTCCAAAATTGTGCAGCCTTACTCTCTGCACAGCTTCACTGCTTCCTAAACTTAAAGCAGCTCCTTTATTTCCTGTCTTGAGTAGTCACAATGATCAGTCACACCTGGATTAATCAGTTTGTCCAATAATGTAAGACAGGAAATAAAGGAGCTGCCTTAAGTTCAGGAAGTAGTGGAGCTGTGCATAGAGTCCAATTAACATGACATTTGGCAGTGATACACGTAAATCACTGAAGATTGAGAAGCTGCTGAGAGAGCAGTGGACTGACTCGCTGTTCAGGGGTATGTCTTGGGGTTTGGGATTGAAAGGGGTTAGGCCAAAATCCTCTACACCCACCCTATAAAAAAATGTTAAGGAAAATAAATATTTCTGTAATGACTCCATAAAAATGTTTGATTCAGAGTGATGATCACTCTTCTAGTTTAAAACAAAGACTTAATCTAAAATAGCTGCCAAAATTAGCACTGATATAGAGATATAAAAGGGTTCATTGACAAAAACAACAAACATTTTAACATTTAGGGTATTATACACCTAAAATGTGATTGTCATAAAGAAGTTCTCTCCAGTCTGTTTGGAAAAACTCTACAGACTATCTCTTTAACTTTACTGTAAAATTGATACCTTTTTCAAGCCACAATAAGTGACATATATAGTGCAGAGATGGGTCCTTATTGGTTCAAAATGTGAGTCACACTGTTATATCTTCATGAGTAAGCCCAGCATACCTGAGAGGTGTATATATGTCTCAATAAGAAAAGGAACAGTCCATTATTTCCTCCTTTGACAACTGTATTGTCTTACTCTGTCACCCTGAAAACAGACAAGGTTAGAGGTTGTTCACTTCGCTGCATTCCTGGATGAAAAAACTCCACTTCAATTATATTTTCTCAGATACTAGAAAAATGTATTGATCCTTGAAGAGAATAAAAACGGCATTCAATCGGTGCAACTAATTGTGTGCAAGTGTGTGAGGATATCATTGACCCTGAGCCCCCCAACAACGGCGCTTAAATGAGGGTTTTTTGCTGCTGTGTGTATCGTCACGTTTTCTCAAAGCAGTCAAAGAAACACAGAACTAATCCATCTGCTCAAACTGTAACAAGCCATCTGTGCTCCTGTTTCTGTCTTTAATTTGACTTTTTTTTCTCCATTCGTAGTTTTTATGAATATCTAACAAAAATTAGAGCAGGGGATTTTTAACCAGTGGTTGGTCTTCAAAAATTTGTTTTCCTTTTTTTCTCCAGACTCACTTAAAACCTAAAATCAAAACTTCACCCACAAACCAGTATATTTTGTGGTAGTACAATTTAATATGTAGAAAAAGAAGAACCCATTTAGTATGACTCATGAGCCTTCAACCTATCTTATTAAAACCTTTGTGAGTAGCTTTTAGTGGTTGTAAAACGGTCTGAAAGATTGTGATGCCAAATGGGACAATTAGCAACACTGAACATTTTTATATAGTAATTTGAATGCCTGTTACAGTTACAAAAGGGTTGGCGTCAAACTGGGTGATTGACAACAAGCTGAAGAAACCGCTTTTCATTCTGTTTTCGGATGCAAATATTCACAATGAGTGACAAATTTCACAGTCAAAAGAAACAAGACGAGACATTTTCTCAGGAAATACTGCTTTGGCGTTGTATTTCACAGGGGATGCCAAAGTGTACACAAATAAAAGTTTCTTTAAATACACAAAGATATCTATGTGTGTTGTCTTACACTTAACACAAATTGGTCCCCAAGGTAGCCTATAGCAAAGTTAATGAAATACTTTATGTGCACCTATAAATGGCAAAAAGTGGAAATTAAACTGTGAGAGAGACATACAAAATGTTAGATATCGTTGATACTGATGCATTGTAAAATTTCCCATCAAGGTGATAAACTGAAATAAGGTATGTATATATATAACATTAAACTAATTGTGTTTTTCCTGCATATGAAACTTCTTGGGCAGCTCACCCTGATATCTTGATAGCTTCTGTCTAATAGTACACACAATTTTCTTGGTACATTGATAAGCTTCATACTCGTGTGAAGAAAAACAGGACTCCATGATTGAATGTCCTGTTTTCTTTTCACATCCACATTCACTTTGTCCATTTTTCTCCCTTTGTCTGGCACCGTTGAAGTGTTTAAATACTAAATATTGAAGACTCTCACATCTTGGTTAGAGTACGTAATTACAAAGTGTCAGCTTGCACAAGTATTGCAGGAGAAAGTATATTGGTAATAATGACACACAGGTAAAAGTTTGAATGTATTTCAGACCTGGGAATTGTATAAACCCATGAAATACATTTCCACCTGCAATAGACAGTGAATATTCTGGAAAGTGTTAAATGTGCCATCCATGCGTAATATTTCACTGGTTACTGTTTTCTTTTTTTTTACTTTGCTAAATGCCAGAAAAAAATTACTTCAAGCAACTTCTCTCTGGTTTACCTGCTGAAATATTTCCTCTCTATCATTATTTGTTTTTTTTATCCCACCTGAACATATAAGTCCCATACATTCTCATTAGACATCCCTTACAGCAAGTGCTGCTTTGCCATTGAATTGCAGTGCAGTCCTGCATGCCAGGACAGGTACAGCTCAGTGGCACTCAGGGGACTGATGATAGAAGTGATAGCATTGCCACTGAGAAAAGGATCCCCAGAGGTATTTTCAGGGGAATGTGCTGTGGACAGCAAAATGGCCTCAGTTGCCCAGAGGAAATAACGGGGGAAAAAAAGAGGAGATGTGGGAAATGGATTTCAGAACCAAGCAATGTCTGAGTGTTTTTATAAATTAAACACAGCAATGTTTAGTCATAGAAGTGGTCCTCTATGATTGTCAACTCAAGATCAAGAGAGAGAGAGCAACAAAAAGCTCTTAAATGTCAAACAAAAAGGATGTATGACTTTTTGAATACATCGTCACAACAATTAAAAAGTTTGTAATGGAATTGCGCATCTATAACTGCCCACTACAAGTTTAATCCAGCTGTCTTTGATAACGTTAACAATAAAAAACCTTCTCCTCTTTAGTTAAAACCTACACCATATTCAATACAAACACCACAGACATGAACTTAAACCCATCTTGGCCTTGGCACACACTTAAAGCTGTCAGCCTGCAGTATATTCATCTGCTGCAGCTGCCTCCAACTGCATACTGTATTCACATCATATCACTGAGAGGAAACCTTTGCACTGCACTACATAACAGCGGGTCACACTTGCATGTGAAATCTATGCAAATGTACTGTTCACTCGGAATATTCAATTAATGCAGAGCAATTAAAATGTGACTGAAATATGGTACGTGTGAAGTGCTGCATGTTAATCCTACACTCCAGGAAAGTAAATGCTCTGCAACATTTTTTTTTTTCAACTATGCTGCTTGAATATCAAAAATCTGCAACATTTCAAGTGTAATTGTTAGTTTACACAATTAAAAACTCTTCGTCGTCCAGTTCAGACTTATCCTCATTAATAATGCATCTGTGCATGCACAAACCGGTATAATAGTATGAGCAGCGGTATTCCTCTGGCATGTAAAAAAGCTTGTTTGTGAAAAACAAATTCAATGTTGAGTTGGTGTTTTTGTTGGGGTGGAAAATTATCCTTAGAGGAGTGGGGGTTTTGCTTTGGCAAAACTGTTGAACAGAATTCGATGGTAGTCAAAGGTGAACGTGTTTCACTTTTGAGCAAAAACTGTTACATGAAAAGCAGACAGCCTGCTCAACAGCTCTGGTTGTCAACTGTTGAAGTAGGAACCATAAGTGGGTCACAAAGACATTTCTAGTGGTTCTTGAATAAGTAAGAACAAGTTTGTCTTGGCTTTCATCATTATGGCATGATGTGCATGTTCAGTAGTGAGATGGTCAGAGTGCAACCATAGACTGTATATACTATGGACAACTTGGTTCTGCCTTCTGCCAGTTTACGGATTTAAAGGCAAAAAGCTCTCAGTAATTCCGCGATTTTTCTTCATTTCCTGAAACCAACATTGCGCAGTAGCGTTGTACACATTCAGCAGGAGAGTCGCCGTGATGACGCTAGGCTCAAACAGCATATTCCCCCGGGTGAGCTACACAATCTTCGTACGCCCATAGGCTGTATAAGGTGTCAATCATAGAAAACATGAACCCCCCAATAACTTTTAAAAACAGAGCTTCACAGAAAAAAAAGGACTTGGGCACAAACCAGTCTTACAATAACTACATGTCAACATCGCAACCGGGGGGGAAGAATTTATGTTCTGTGTAATTAATTTCTAAATTTTGTACACAGCTCCATAAGCTTTGCTGGCAGAGGCGGGATTTATGACCCATACTGCAGCCCGTCAACAGAGTTTGCTGTTCTCGGCAGGGAGGCAGACGGCGTCCATTCTATATACAGTCTATGAGTGCAACACAGGAGGTGGCAATAATGCAGCTCAAAGCTGGTCATCACCCAAAATTAAAGACAAATTTCACAAATTGGGATTACAAATGTCCTTCGGGTGGTGGCGATGGGTCATAAAATGGAATTATGCATTTTCAAACCTCCTATAAAGCAAATCTCAGTTGTTTTATTTATTCATGGAGGGGTCAAAATTAATGCAATAAAATTTACTTTTTGATCTTAACTTTTAGATCTATTATTTCTATAAAAGCTGCGCTGCCACTCTCATTTTGGTCAGAAGCCATGACTTAGAGTTCGGCGACATCTACAGAGTTACATTTTAGTCAAAGAATGAAACTGCAACACATTTAGACCTGAGTTCATCACAAAATGTGTGATCATTATTTATAAAGTGTGCAGTTATTCCTAGATAACTTTGATAACTCACTGACAGTCCCTGAGCCTCGATTGATGTGACAGCATTAATTTAACACGTTAATGTTAGACCTTGATTGCATCGTGATTAACTTGTCTTTGCTGACAGCCCTTGTTGGGATTTGTTTAATGCATTCCTATTATTCAATATATGAGTTCACATTTAGGAATGTAAGGGTTGAATTATGTTCCAGGTATCAGCTGCAGAGTATAATTTGAAAGTTTCCTCCAAGGATGGCTTGAAAACTTTTGCCCTTGCTCCATGATGCACCATTTAATAATGTACCTGCATTGATAGAAAAGTTGAGAAAAGAGGAGTTTTATTAACACAGTTTGACCGATCACAGATTAATAACGGATGAACAGCTATGGTTTATAGACTTTTTACCTTGTGCATTCCAACATCAGAGGACATGGGACTTTTGATATACAGTACGTCGGTACATTCAGACCCTTTCAAAAGTTTTGCCCTCAATGAAAACAAGATTAATGAGAAAGCAGCACAACTGGACGCCTTAATGTTTGTCTACTATAACAAGCTTTCTGACCTTCAAGAATAGAAGTGTACATGAGGGCCAAGATGGAGTGCCTATCCTAACATTTTTCTCCTTCCTCCAACCAGCCTGCATAAAATAATCCTGTGGATCGAATTTCATGCAGTATTTTCACCTGAATTTTACCTGAGGACATCCTGTTTCCCATTAAATCTCTATTGATTCTTTACCCATACCCTAATCAACCCACTTTACAGCATACAGTACGTACGATCTTACACAAAGACACACACACACACAAACACACATTTCCTGGTATCAACGTGAGACTTTTAGCGGTAGAATGTAAATGAGCAAATCCCTGAGGTAATTAACAACCAAGCCCCTAACTTATTGCGTGAAGCCTTGCTGACTAACAAACACCTGTGCTGTATCAATTAGGAAGGCTTTATTTGTATATATTAATGGAGTGCAACTCTGTTTAGTTAATTTAAGGATCATATATTCCATCTCCAGCTGTGCACGCACTGAAGTAATTCTGTTAAGTAAAACCGAGTATCCAGTTCAGTCGGTAATTTACATAACATAATCATTTGACCTTGAAAATACAAGGTTAGTTGCATTTACAGGGTGGTTGCAGAATGAAAACTGGGTCTCATCTGTGACGTCAAAAGAGTATAAATAATGTTAGCAGTGGCTGCTACCGCTGTTGCCGGTCCTTCGTCCGATCACACGAGTACTGAATTCTTACCTAAATCCTACCAATCAGGGAATATTTGTCATATTCCAAAACTGCCTTTTTAGTAAACCCAATATTTTATGATTTCTCAATGAATTCCTTCTTCGGATATCGTAAGCGACAAATCAAATACACCTAATTTGGACTGTGCAGGTTAAATCGATGGAAGTATAATCAAATTATGTGTTTTCCATTGGTGGAAGGGTTGGGTTTTTGTCTTTATTGATGTTTTTAGCCTCTGTGAGGCACTTTGAATTGCATCTCCTTCTGTATGAAAAGTGCCATATAAATAAAGTTGAATTGAATTGAATTATATAAAAAACATGATATCAGGCAGTACGTTAGACACTTGAGATGATAGATAGATAGATAGATAGATAGATAGATAGATAGATAGATAGATAGATAGATAGATAGATAGATAGATAGATAGATAGATAGATAGATAGATAGATAGATAGATAGATAGATAGATAGATAGATAGATAGATAGATAGATGGATGGATGGATGGATGGATGGATGGATGGATGGATGGATGGATGGATGGATGGATGGATGGATGGATGGATGGATGGATGGATGGATAGACAGACAGACAGACAGACAGACAGACAGACAGACAGACAGACAGTCTGTTTAATTATTAACTTCCTCATCATTCATTTTCTTTAATAATTTCTTTTATCCCTGTATATAACTACAGATTTCCCTGTTGCAAATAAGGATGGCTTTAGATGACTTCATTGCAAACTGTTGAGCTATAGCAGTGAACATCAAGCGCATATGCTTGAATGCTTTTATCTACACACAGCTGGCAGTCTGTCTTAAAGAGCAACTCAGCGGCCCACTTTAGCATGAACAAGCTCTCTTATAAAAATAGAAAACGATGCAACCTGTTTTAATTGGCAGCTGACTTTTTGTACTTACCCCCGAACAAATTATCTGAATTGAAGTTCTGGAAGTTTTTCAGCTGAGGAAACTACATAAATGCTGTGGTTCTTTTGGCACCACACTGAGCTTGAGATTATTGCTCCAAATAAAGGTTATTATGTGCTGAAGTTGTCTTTAAGTTGGCCAAACCACATCATCTCCTCTCAGACAGGAAGGGAAAATATGTATTATCATCATCATCATCACAAAGGGACAAAATATAGGCCCTAAAAACTGAACTGTAACTTATTCAGTGTAGATAAAAACATCATTTGGATTTCTTGTGTACAAAAAGCAGGAAAAATCTTGATGTTGTTTGAGTATGTGGTGCCGAGTAAATTCACTTTTTGTTTGCCTCAGTGCACACTATGATGAAAATGTTTCCTACCCCACCTGCTCATTAATCAGGGAGGCAGTGCAGATGGCGTTCTTTGACAGAGAGGAAAACATGGAGAGCTATCAACTTTTTGCTGCTAATTAATCCTTCCATTCTTTGAATGGAATTGCAAACTACATAAATTAGCCTAAAAGTAGGGGAGGAAAGACTCACATAATTCCACGTAATGTACAAAGTGTCTCCTTTTTTTTTCATTTAAAAATGTGTTTTGATGGAAAAGTGAATGACTCACATCCTCATCCTCCTCGACAGAAACTGATTTATTTTTGCTCGACTCCCTAAAATGAGTTTCATGGAGATATGTACTGTTATGAGATTAATTTTAATAACTGCATCCCTTAATAATAAAGATTTATGATGAATATACAGCATATTAAAGCAGGAGCTCACCACCTACATGCAGTTTGAGAACTCTTGACCAGAGTGGAAACAAACCAGCTAAGCAAAACTGAGTAATCAAACTCCTCTGAGCAAAGCAGTGATTCACTCCTGGGTAATTGTTGGTCATCCACACTCCACCAACAGGAGCTTAAATACCACCATTAGACTGGGCTCTTAGTGCAGGGTGAACACAGACATAGCATGCTTAAATTACAACCTTTTTGTCTCTACACATTTGAAGAAAGACTGTCTGCTTCTGAATGGTCAAACTGTTGCTGTAGGATATTGGATATATAGGATAGGATATAGGATATAGAGATGCCCCATATATGCCCCATATATATATATATATACACACATCCTTGGAAAATGTAAAAATGTACAGTCTTTTCTCTCAACTACAATGCTCCAAATGAGCAAATATCAGACCTTAAAGAGCTCACAGTTTCCTATTAGGTCTGCTGGTTTTCAGAGGCTGCATTTTTCTGCCTGTTCTCTCCGTATTTCCATCCATACCACCGCCTCAATCCGTCCACTTACCGGAGATAACTCCTCACCAATTTGCAGGTGCAGTTTCAAGGTATCGAGGTCAGCGTTGTGACGGCAGACAGTGTCTACGCTAAGGCGGGGAGTATGTGTCAGATACGAAGGACTCGACTTTAAACAACGGCTTCCGAGAGCTGTTTCATAGCAGGAAATTCTGGTTCTTGTAAGAGCTAAATGATCTGGAGTATGAAAAAGGTTGGAGTTACCATCACCAGCAGAATTTAAGCCAAGGCTGCTGACCAGAAAAAGAGGAGGCTGCCAAATCCTGCCCTCACAGATCATAGCCAACTGTTTCTATATTTACTCCATAGAGTAAGGTGACCAGATGTCCCCGATTTCCAGAGACAGTCCCCAATTGGGATGACCTGTCCCTTTGAAATATACCCAATTTAAGCATTTCATGAATGAGGAAAAAAAATGTTGCATGTAGATTAGAACAACAGTTATTACAGTACCCAAGAAGGAAGCGCAAGTAAGCATGTTGCGCACAGTCCTGAAGAACAGTTTTTATGGGGGGCCTGCACAGCTACTAAGTAGTAACGAGATCATGTCTGTGATTATGCAGCTGATGCCGCCCCCGCCCAAAAAAAAAAAAAAAGAAAAAACAACAACTTGTATCTCTCGTCAAATTTCTGGAGCACTGACTGAATGTTGGTGTCTCCAATGTGGAAAATTCCACCATGTCTTTCAGTGTCTTTGGCAACTTTGGCAAAGGCTTGACGGACTTCAAGCTGTCAGGGAGCTGCAGGAGATATCTTCAACTTGTTAGCCTAATCATAACTTTCCCTTAAATTCAATGCGTTTCCTTATGTCACTTGGACGTTTTAGTGCTTAATTTACATATGGTCTCATACAGATTAGCTAGGGTGACCATACGTCCTCTTTTAACCGGACATGTCGTCTTTTTTGGGGGCTGTCCAGGTTTGTCTGGGGAAGTTCATAAAATTATCCAAATGTCTGTGGTTTTGTACGTAAGTTTCGATTTTGTGTCACATAGACTTACTGAGTTGGAAGCGCTTAAAAGACACTGGATCCAACCCTAAAAACTCTCAAAATTAACTTTGTGCAACTCTGTGACTCCGCCTCCACATTTTCGAGTCTTCTTTTTGGGAAGCCAGAATATGTTCACCCTAGATTAGCTAGTTCTCATTTTCAATTGGCTGTGAGCTGAAATATCCTTAAAGAGCCACCATAAACCCCAGCGCTGATGAGATGCAATTGTTTACCAGGCTCTGTGGTTGGCTTATTTAACTTTTGCAGTTGTGACAGCCCTACAAGTGTTGTTCATGCCGGGTTTACTTTGATGCTACATAAATAAGAACAGATTGACTGACAAAGGATCATTTGATTCAAATCACCTTAGCAAACTTTTGCTCATTATATTTCAGTCACATTTCTGCCTGCTTGGTCCGAAACACTGGAGAGTGTATCCACTAAGCAGGTCTACCAGACCATAAATTAACATCAGTTTCACCTCAATAAACGCTTTCTTTTGTTTCTGCTCCACTGGTTAATATTCTTAACTTATTTCAGGCACATACTAAGATGGCAAAATGCGTGAAATTGATGCTGAGGAAGAATATTTGGAGCCAAAAAGACAAACACACAGATGGGCAAAACAGAAAAAATGAAGGACGCACAAGTACAGGGGATTAATCCTCATGAAGGGAGTAAAAGAGTGGCAAGCACAGAGGATCTTAGAGGAAAAACCTGTCCAATAGATACAAGGACTGGGAAATGTTACACAGACTTAAGACCAGGGCAAACTCTAATTCAATATGGACCACCATGAACATCCCAGTGGGACTCCTTCAGAGTGCTAGGTTGCTGGAAGACATAAAACAGTCTTGCAGTCACAGGAAGTCTTCACAAGCCACTCTTCACCTTTAGATCTTTGCTGGTATGACTTAAGGACAGGGTATGCATCCAACGATGACAAGAACAATGGACTGAACAACCACAGTGAATAGACACCTTCAACTGTCTGCGAAAAACTAGATCAAGACATACAGATGTCAAAGGCATCAATCAGAATGACTGAGTGATTCATACAAATACAAACACAGCTCCACTGTTCAGAGCTCTCTGGTACAGAACTGGATCTGTCAGCTGGCCAGGGCAAAGTGAAGAGCTGTGCAGTGATTAAACTCACTTGATTCTTCCTTTCATTCGATCATTACAATCCAAGGGCGTACTTCCAGTGAGAGTTTGTTTTATTCAAGACAGTGGAAGTGTACAAAATAACATATTCTTTCTGCCAACCAAGTGGGAGCCGCTGAAAAGCTTTGTATTCTTTTATACTGTTTCTATTCTGTCCTTCCTCTGTCAAACACAAAAACTTCAACTTTCTGTTGCAGTTGTGAATACTGCCCGAATAAGTCTGGTTCCCAAATGGCAATTGTGATGATTGAATAAGAATCTGTGATTGAAAACATCTCCTATTCAGAAGCCACAAAGACTTTCACTGCCAGCATGTGAAATTAATGACTTTGGCAAATCTGAATCTGTTATTTGATCTTGCTTCTCCCAGCAGATGACGCCTCTCCATGCCTGTGCTTTCAAATCCACCACTGCAGGCATGGCCTGTTACAAAGGTCCGAGCTCACAATCTGGTGCATGAACCTGGGTGCTGGATCCAAAGCACAGCTGAGCACATACTCTCTCAAAAATATCAATCACCCCGGGGTTTAAAGTGTGTACGAGTGAATGCTAAATACACCAAGGGATGTAAACAGATCTCTTTGATGGAGCAGGATCAAGGACGGCAGGATATGAACTTACGAGCTGCAGTCGAGGGAACTGATTTGATCTTAGCAGATGTGTTTGATTTATTTCCTTTTCAGACAGATGCCTACTGTACCTTGCCATGGCTGGTTTCTCAAATACAGGTACAGCTAATTATGATAAATGCAAGAATAAGCAAGGATGAGGAATTTGCACAGTGGCTGCTACTGACTGGGACCAGTTCTGAATCTGCAGTAATGTCTGCAATCATAGAGAAGGGTATAGAGGCTCAATTTACACTGAAAATGTAACTTGTCATAATGATCTCACTAATATAATGTATGGTAACACTTTACTCAAGGCCTATCTCTATATGTGTCTTATGCATTATAATCACATTATAGCACTGTATAACTATAGTTATAAACACTCATAAATGATCATAATGCTTTATAACAATAATCATAACATATTATTAAGCATTTTATCATGACTTATAACACATTATAATACCTGACCTTGTAACTGTTAACAACTCACTGACAATGCCAACATAGATAATGCATTATACATATATGATGTGTTATAATTTGCTTATAAACTTGTATAACTATCATTATAAACACTCATTAATTATCATGAGGCTTTATAACAATAAGCATTACACATTATAATACCTGACATTGTAAGTCATGGTAAAATGCTTTATAATGTGTTGTGATTATTGCTATAAAGCATTCTGATCATTTATGAGTGTTTATAACTATTGGTATACAGTGCTATAATGTGATTATAATGTATTACACACATTTTTATGATGCGTTATAGAGATAGGCATCAAGTGAAGTGTTACCTAATGTATTTATAAAATCAAAAGCAGTCTTTAAGTAGATATCAGCAGTTGGAGTCAAGGGAGTCTTTTTTTAATCTTGTGTTCCTGGACCTTCTGCTGTGCCCCCTCCTGAAATTAGAAGGGTGAACAGTTCTTAAGCAAAGGTTAGGCAAAGTCCCTAAAAATGCAGGAGCCCTTTTTTTCTGCGCCACCTGAAGCTGTTGTAGGTGTAACTAATTTCCTCCAGAGGCTTTTTGGTAATTTAGTTATCTGTGATAACAGCCCTTGGCAAATTGACAATGAACTCAGAGGTTCCAGACGAAAAGTGATATCAGGCTGTCGATGCACAGTGCAGGGGAGTGATCTCCTGTTGCAGAGGAAAATGAGGCTGGTGGGCAGGTTTAGATTTAGGTAATATCAGGTCCAAATTAGCCATAACTTCAAATAGAACATGTCTGTGTAAGTATCAGTCTTTGTTAGTCATAATACGTCCTTAAGGAGCAATATACCCTGATAGAGACCAGTGAACTGAGCACAGTCAGTGTTCATGTGACTCGTACTGAAGCACCATTTCAGGGACACCGTTGCATAATAACATTTTTCTGTGTTTCTCATTGCATTTTACTTTGACTTTCTCTGGAATAATATAAGAAAAAACTGGGTAAAGGTCATACTCTATAACAATAAACACACATGACAAAAGCTCCTATTGTCCAAAAACAAAGATAGATTGGAGATGCATACTGTTTCACAGACTCTGCATGGAGATTTTGACCACAGGTCCTGGGTCTTTTTATCCAGTGATAAACCTAACTTTGGACTTATTTGGGCTCTAACTCGGTTAAACTGGTAAAACATGGGTAATTTTAAGTTTGTTTCTTTAAAGTGAGGTTGTTTAGGACGCATGTTGACAGTAGCATATTAGCCACAGGGGAAGCTGACCAGCTACGGTATTGACCACTACGGACAGAGCAAGGTCTACCACATATCACATCTTATTTTAACTCCTCCAAGCAGGTCTACATAGAACCTGTCACCAATTCATTGGTTCTTGTTGTTTAAAGTACTCTCTAGTTTTGGCTAGGAAACGGATTGTGAAAATTAAAGCTCCAGTAAGATTTTTTTTTTTTTGTCATTTATGAAGCAGATTGAAACTTATTTTGATGGTTCTCGATAATACTCAAAAGCAAACTAGACCATCAGCAACAAGACGAATGATTTATAATTGTGTATTTTTAACGCTTGAAAGCAGAGCGAGGGGGTAGGTGTGAAGCAAGGAGCTGAAGAGACAGCTCTGTTGAGAAAACTTGAGCCTGTAGAGGACAAGACAAGCAAATTCAGAGGATTCAAAATTAATACAAATTATGTTCCCCTATGTTCCCTTATAGGAGCTTTAATAGAGTACTGAAGAAAACGTGAGCGTCACAACTTTTAAACATTCAACAGCCATGCTCATGTGGAACTGTGTTACTTAGACTGCCCGCATGAAGATGAATACAATTGAAACTCAAATGTGCAAATACAAAAAACAATCTTTGAAAAGTAGAAAATAAGTTTGAATAAGGAGAAATTCAAGAACAAGAAATAAACTGCTGGAATCAGCAGATCCGCACCTGGTGATCTCTGAAGAGGAACACTTCGCACCTCTCTCCTAGACTTATCTATGTGGAGCAAACGGGACTGTCTGCAGTGTATGAGGTAGTCCCAAATGGGCCCAAAAAATAAAAGCCCATGCCCTAGTTATGCTCAAATTCACATTATTGCTAATCTGTCTTGCGCCTTGTGAGCAGCAGCAAACAGAGCTTTTTTATTGCGTAAATGTGACCATTAGCCCTGACTGGCAGAACAAGCTGTGTGTTTTTCTCTACACCCAAGTAGCATTTGCTTTCTAGGCAGCATTGCCAAGGATATAAATCTCTTAAAGTGTGGTATATTTTACTGTCACATAAGATCACCACAAGGAGAGATATACAGGCTACACTTGTAGTTGAAATGTACTTTATATTTCATTGGCTATGATTTGTATCCTTAGGCTTCAGGAGAATATATGCAAGAAATAATGACCTGTTAGAAACAGGATCACTTATGTCGCCTTTAATTTCACAGTGAGAAATGTCCATTAAAAAAGTAAGTTTTGGACAAGGAATAAAATAAATTATAAATGTTTGCAGGGAACTCTATTATAAGAAATTCCAAGGAGAAATATGCAAACAACAGTTGGTCAGCATTGGTGAACAATTATACATGTATGCTAATCTCTTTTTTTCAGTTTTAGCTGAATTAAAAACAGTCAAGAGTGACTGATGGACATACTAAGCTGATTTACTGATTGTATCTAATTTCCAATTGTAATTTGTTTATCTTGCTCCATGCTTCCAAGTTATTAAATCAATGGTAATGATGCATAATCAAAATGCAATTAATAACCAGTTCTGCAAGGTAAACAAGAATTAATCTACAATTTGTCATCAGCAGCAGAAACAGACAACCACACATACAACAAAATGAGTACACAGTATATTATCCCCCTTCTCATTGCATAATATTTACTTCATTATTCTGTGAACGGCTGATTGAATTGGCCGGTAAGAAAGTTTGTTTGCCACCTTAACCAGAACTGGGCCTGTGAAATGACCTGCAATCACAGAATAGTATGATCAATTGGTCATATAGAAAAGTGTCGTATAGACTTGAGTGTAGTCAGTTTTCATCATAGACTGTATATACTATGGACAAATTGGTTCCACCTTCTACCAGTATACGGATTAGGAGCCGAAAAGCTCTCAGTATTTTCGTGATTTTTCTCCATTTTCTGAAACCAACATTGCGTAGTAGCATTGTACGCATTTGGCGAGAGAGTCGCCGAGAGTCGCTGTGATGGCGCTCGGCTCAAACAGCTCAAACCAGTCTTACAATAACTACACGTCAACATTGCAACCAGGGGGGAGAATAAATTATATTCTGTGCAATAAATTTCTAAAATTTGTCCACAGCTCCATCAGCTTTGCTGAAGGAGGCGGGATTTATGATCTATACTGCAGCCTGTCACCAGGGTGTGCTGTTCTCGAGGTGGCTTCACCTAGCAAGGCAGACGGCGTCTGTTCTATATACAGTCTATGGTTTTCATCCAGTATCTCAGATGTCAAGCTAACACTGTCTGACAATGGAAACATTTCGTACCATATCTTTAACATCAGGAACTTCATGTCTTTAAATATTTGAAGAAAAGCAGAACACTGCTTAAAAACTCACAAAATCTTATTGGAGCGTGTTTAATTTCATATGCATGGATAAAGGTATCTTCAAAATCATGCATGTCAGTAGTAAGTAGGCCTCTGTGGTTGTTCAAGCCCATGAAAATCTGTAACTTTAAGCGTGCTTGTTTAGGTCAGTTGGAGAGCAGGTGCCTCATATATGGGGACAAAGTCCTCAAGGAACCGATTGCTGGCTCAGCTCCAGCCCGACAATAATTGGCCTCACACAGCCCCCTCCTCCCCCTTCTCATATATACACACACAAAGACACACAATTTCCAATTTTTCCCCACCTTATCCATCCAATGTGGCCACAAAAAATAAATAAGAAAGGGTTTTGCATTACAAGTTTGGCCATCACCCTCGCCTCAAAAGAGAATAATAGTCACAACTTTACAAAGCACATCACTAAACCCATGTCCTAAAAATATTTACTGGTGCTTTAGTTACACAAAGAATACCTGTGTTTGTGTCCTGTGTCTGCTTTTTGATAATTCTGCTGTTCAATAGTGGGCTTGAAGAGAAATCTCAAGTTGCACAATAACTGAGTCAGCCAGTCAAGAAAAATCTGTTTACTCCGAGGTGTACAAAGAAAAACATGCACATCGACGGTTGTTGCAGCTTTCAGCGCCACATTTTTCTAACAAATGGACTCCCATAACAGACAAAACATCGAGGCAACTTTGGTGCAGTAAACATAAAGCAATAAAGTAGAATGGATTGGCAGTGTTGCACAGCCAATGTGCAGATAAAAGCATGAAACAACAACATATTTTGGTGTTAAATAGGTGCCATCCAAAATGTTACTGCCTCCAAACCTACTGCTGCTCGCTCATTTTCAGATAATAGTGATCCAATTAAATCAATCAGCAGGTGTTTACAGTTGAAAACAAAAATGAAGGTCTATTTAAGAGTGTTATTGTTGGAAAGATTAGTTTGAACAGCAAAGTAATTCAGGGTAACTGTGCTTAAGAGTCCAGTAAAGTACATTTTCTGTGTTCTCTGCACACCCTTTGAGAGATCATGAACTCTCATTAAGAGGCTATAAGTCACAGCCACAATCTTTGAGTCATCTCTTTACTGTGGCGAGAGAAAAAGAAGAAAAAAAGGAGCTCCTACATCGCTGTGCATGGCATAGCTCTGATCAATGTGCTGTCTGTGTCCTGCTGAGAGCCGGTATTGGGCAGGTGGTGCTGCAACAGATACAAAGAGGCTGAGGAAAACAAGAAATAGGGTAAGACAAAACAAAGACCCAGGGATGCAGGTATGAATTCAGAACATAGAAACAATCAAGGAAGAGAAGGATGAGGGGCAAAATATGCAAAATTATATATTTTTTTTTAAAAAAAATTTAATTTTGTGACTGCTGCTGTCTGTAAAAATTTATGCACCTATTAAATGACCAGGTTTTAGGTTTAAAACTGAAATGTGTGAGGACTGTAACTGTTCAACTATAAAAACTAGCCTTAGGTATAATGAAATATCATTGCTTTTATAAGGATATAAATAGAAATCTGGATCTCACACAGACCCTGTCATTAAGCACTTGTAATGTCACATCAAAAAGAGATACAGTGCACTGTGGCACCAAGAAGCGTGAGCACATAACTCCAGTGCTCTCTTCTCTACACTGGCTTCCAGTTAGGTACAGGATCGCTTTTAAGATTCTTTTATTTGTTTTTAAATCTCTGAATGGGCTGGCCCCAGAGTACCTGGCTGACCTTGTGAAGCTACATCAACCCTCCAGAGCCCTTCGGTCTGCTGACCGAGTCGTTCGTTTCAATCCAGAGTGGAGCGAGCGTTTACGGTGGCAGCTCCCACTTTGTGGAATGCACTACCCCTAAGTGTGCGCACTGCAAATAGTCTCTCTACTTTTAAAACCCAACTGAAGATGCACTTGTTCACCTTAGCTTTTGACGGAGTATGATACTTGTATTGGTCATATATTTGTTTTTGTTTACATTATATGTTACATGTCTTTTGTTGTTGCTGTTTGCTGTGTATGACTTGCTTTTATTGCTACTGCTCCGTTATTGTAAAGCACTTTGGTAGGCCACTGGCTGTTTAAATGTGCTATACAAATAAACTTGACATTGACATTGACACTTCTAGAGTAAAAAAAGTGTGTCATTTAAAAACAGAAGTTAGGAAAGCATCCATAAAAACATCTAAATACATGAACTTTAATAAATCACCTTGCTTGTACAATAAAATTTGAGTTGATTAGAATAAAAAAAAGACCACAGTTATGTCCAAAATGGGTTACAAAATATGTCATAGATAAGATTTTGACATTTTTGTGACAATGACGAAACATGAACCTGTCTCATAGATGTTATGGAGTTGTATCTTCAGGTCCTATGTCTGTAATGGATAAGTATTACAGGACCTCTGATCAAAAGTTGGGCAGTTAATTTTTAAAATAGTTAAATTGCAGTATCCCAAGTGACTATGGAGTATCGGGGTGTTATGACTGTAATTGTTCCTGAATCTGTGGGGGTTTTTTTTCCCTTTCTTTTGTCTCTTAGCTTAACCCAGCGGGATCCATCTCATGAGGGATTTAGTTCTTAGTGCGTCATATCAAAGTGCCATGGCTTTGAGTCTTTCAAGGTGTTTCATTTGGATTTTATTTGGGTAAGCAGTGAAGTTTGATCACCCAAAGCTTGAAAGCCAAGGTTTGATTTGCAGTGATGCATCTATCCCTCTGTTATCTGTTGCTTGTCTCATTCAGGGTTGTGCAGTTCGGAGTCCATCCTAACTGTCACTGCTTGCCAGTAAATTACAAGGCTGAGATGTTAAGACAAACAACACTCTAATTTAACACTTACGGGTAAATTTGCCTCACAGACAGTTAAGCACAGCCAGTTCTGTCAAAGGTGACGCTGACAATAGACGAAACGTGACAACTCTTGAAACAAAGATGACAGTTTACCAGTCACCTGTCAAGGCTTGACCTCAAAGGTAGCCCGCCCAAAAAACTTTGAAATTACATTGTTTCCTTTATCTCAAAGACCTCAAAATCAGGCAACTGGACTGTGCGGAGATTCTACATAGTCCAGTTTCCTGATTTTTGAGTCTTCAAGATAACCATGACCTGGATGAATGAGAATCTACATGGACATTACTTCCTTTGCAAAAGTTGCTTGTTGGTTTTCAGATCAAGGATTGCTGAACTTTTTCAAGAAGAAATATTTCAAGATCACTCCTTAGATGCAATACTCGCATTACTTTCGCGATATCATTCAAAACGACAAAAATACTGTGTGAAATGCACTCTATGCCCAGGCAACATTGATACAATAAACAAAACGATGCAAACTATGCTCAGTGATGATTGGGCTACGATGTTTGTCCATCTACCTCTACACTGTAAATTAAAGAAATGGGAAAGTAGAGTAATATATAGTGAATTTACTTTTCAAATGCAGTAACTAGTTAAGTAATCTCATTACAATTTACATAAGTAACTAGTTACTAGTAACAGATTACTTTTTATGAGTAACTACCCCAACATTGCAAATTTGAAGTTACAGTGGAGCTGCTTGAATCTGGCTGTGGCCCTCCAGTCAGCTTGCTGGATCTATCCCCCAGGAGGGAGATGTGGGACCCGTAACTGAAGGAACAAAGTAACATTGTGGTAAAAGTGAATGTCACATACCCCGCACTGGGTGAACAGGAGCACCATGCAGCAGTGAATGTCGACAAATTGGTCATATTATAGACACGGGGCTGTAATTTAACCAGCAGGTTACTAATAATAAGTCTTCAAAGGTCGCTCTTACCTCTCGCCAGTTCTCTTTGGAATTTTATTCAGGGTTGACTTATTTTAATAGTCCCTCTGTCTTCAGGTTTTTAGGCTTTTCATAGGTATTGATGGCTACTTTTTACTAGATCCCACATGAACAGAACGTACTGAATCCAATTTTTCATTATACATTTCAATTTCTTTACCCTTTGGTCTGGAATTTATTCATAATAAAATAATCGCCAGGCTTCTGAAGATGAACATTGTGATTCTTTCTCTCTTCTTAATTCTTTTGGTGATTCAGCCTTTTCTCTCTGTACCAATGATTATCTTTACTCTGCCCGCAAAGTTGATTTTACACCCAGAAGGCCAAGTAGATGAGAAAGCAGATCATATGCAAGCTGCTGCAAGCCCAGTTCATCTTCAACGGTGTTTGACAGCCCATGTGAAAACTGAGCTTCAAGTCTATTCATTTGCATCTTCACTGTTAGTTTTCTGGATGTCTCGAATGAAGTCAACCATGTTGTAAGAACCCTGGCTGGGACTCAAATGCTTCATTGGCAGCCATCTACTAAAAGAAAAAGAAAAAAAAAATAAAGTGGCTGGAGGACTAGATTAAAATGATTCCCCCATGAGTTAGAGTGATTTCCTTTCCCCATCCTCAGTTACTACAAACTGTTACTCTAAAATAACTTTAAAACAAGACTTGGTGAACAGTGGATGAAGCGTCTCTTTGCTCTGCTACGCTAAACATAAAAGCTGAGTCTATTGTTGACTGAGCCTGCACCATTCTGAACAGAGGAGATTGACCTTGAAAGGATGTCAAGCACGGGAATGCCATACCATCCAGTTCATTCAAGAATAAAACACAATATGCTGACTCTTGACTGTCTATTAGAGTATATAAATGAGAAATACTCATTGATGATGAATGTATTTTAAACTCAAAACAACCACATGGCCTATCAGTGATCCTTGTTGACCACAACAGGACTTAAAGACATGGTTGATGATTGGAGAAGCAGTTGAAAAGCGTCAAACCCCCCACACACAAACCTCTCCCCTCTGTGCTCCACCATAACTACCCCCCCCCCCCCCCCCCCGAACCTGTATCGCCCTCCCTAAGACACACCCTCTCCGGCAGGGCAAGAAGCCAGCCAGCAGAAGACCCTACGCTAGCTTCAAATAGGATTCACCATGTCGGATTGCTGGTGACTAGCAGCAGTAACGCCAGCTCTGTTAGCGAGCACCGTCTGCAGCTGCCTGGACAGGTACCATGTTGACATTGCAGAGACAAATGAGAGTTATTTATGTAACATGTGCCACGATAAAAGGCGAAAATTACCTGTTCAACAAAAACTCTGCTGCCTCGGCGTCTGTTTACAAACCCAGCTCAGAGGAGGGCCAGAATAATGGGAGGGGACGAGTCAGAATTACGGGAGAGGGGTGTGTCGAATACAGTGAGGTGATTGGATGGAGAGGAGGAGCAGGAGATTTACCAATACGAGCTGTCCAAGACGGATGGCTCCCAATGGTCAATGTTTTTACAGCCCTGCAGTAGCGAGGGTAAACCTTTTTTTTCCCATTCTTTTTTCTCTTCACTTTGTTGAGATCGCGCTATAGGACCATGATCGCCATATAAACAATGTTCATAATAATTACCAATCTCTCCAATCATCAACCAAATCTTTAAAGTTGCTAACTTTCTCTCCAGAAAAGACCACAACAAAAAGGAATATCATTTAAAGACGCTAGTACATCTGCAAAAACCAAAACTTTAATCGTGTTGCTTGCTTACCAGAGGCAGAAGCACATAAGTCAACCATGGAGGAGCAACGTAACCTGTTGTAAACTGAGTCCATCTGCTCTAGACTCTGCTTCAAACACGATCGAAGTGGGCCAAAGTGCACACCCTCAAACGGAGCGAAAACCAGAACATGACTCACATGCATCCTTTGTGTTTTTGGCATTACTCCGTAACCCAAAGTCGCAAAAGTAAATAAGCAAACAAAGCCACCATCTGCAAGTTTTAACTGTGTATTAACTACAGTACTCACTTAGTGCTTTCACTTAGTAAATGTAAATAATTTTGGACAGCAGAGAAAGTAACCCACACTCACAGGATAGATAGGACTTCATAAGCTGCTGGATTTGAACACAGCGCTTTTCTTGCTGTGGGGCAACAGGGTTAACTACCATTAACATTACAAGCCTGTTTTACAATTGAGGATTGGAATTACCTGTCTGCCTCCGCTGATTGCAGTGCTATAGCAACAGTTACACCTAATGCCTTACAGACAAAGTGTGAATGATCATTAATAATATAGCACAGCTATATTATACCTATAAATGAATATTAATAAAGCGCTGCTATATTGTTCGGAGAGATTAAAGTCTCCTCTCCCTGAAGGATAAATCTGAGGAAGTTAAGCATATTACTTGTCTTTATCACGTTGTCGGCAGCAACAGCCTCGGTCTCAGGTTTGTGCGCTGAGTTATGACCTCATCATCCCGTTTGTACAAAGGGAAAAATTAAATTAGTCAGAGTAATGAACCTAGGTGCTTTCCATGAGAAATTTCTCTACTCATTGTTTCCCCAAGTCGTTTAAGAGACTAATCTGCCGCATGCACCCCCATCTCACTTAAATCCTAGCCGTCTGAAAGAGCTGTCAGGGGTCTGCCTCCTCAAACATGTCTCCCCATGGGGGTCCTAGATCAAAGATGAAAGTGTGCTGAAGGATCCGAGAGACTGGGGTGGAGGGAATGACATGAGGGGAGTTAGGAGTGCAATTCATCAAATTAACAAATTTGCTTTCCTTTCCCCTAAAGGCAGTGGAGTAAATTCTCAGGTACTTAAATTCGTAAAGCACTGACATGGCGGGAGAGAGGGGGGAGGAGTCCGAATGTGGGAGGAAGTTCTCAGTTAGACAGTGATGTGAGTGTGAACGAATGTGTAATTAATGACACTCTTACTCCTAATTAAAACCTCTTAGCTTTCCCCTCACAAGGTTGCAGCAGCTGGTATAGACAGGGCCCTCACTGTGAGACGAGAGACATAAATTTCATGACAGTATCGCAAGGCAGCACCTGCTTATGCCTACACCTGTCACTGCTGGAATCATACCTCATTCTGTCAACGAATTAACATCCTCCTGGGCTGAGAGAGGAAAAAACAGGTAGGTTCTCTCATCCCAGTATGAAATCCCTGGTGGTTTCAAGGAGGTACTATGTATCCACTTTCAAAATTAAATTTATCGTTGTTTGGTTCTACTAGGCAGACACCTGCCTCCTCAAGTAAAAATGGCATACTCCAGATCTGAGAGATTTCCCCCAGGATCCACATCACAGTATTGCCTTGTAACTATAACTTAATATCATGTCAAAATCTCCTGAGGATGATACAGCTAGTCAAGCCACAGACAGAGAGAAAACAAGAGCAAGTCAAACGCTTGAAGAAACAGATGGAGGCCAAGAGCAGGTGGAAGAGAAAGAGACACCGAGGTAGCTTCGGGGAGCTGGGGGGAAGAAAAAGGAAAACCCCGCACACAAAAGGAAACATAACACAATTTTCCCCATGATAATAGAGGCAACGTGGGAACAATACAAGGCTATCAAGTCATTTCAAAAAAACAATAGGGAACAGCATGGTAGTGCCATTTAGTATGAAATTTTAATGCTAGTTCAATAAATGATTCTGTTGTCTTTTACAGAAGTGTCTTTAACGGGGGCTGAATGCACGAGTAGCCCTGTGGGACATGAACAGATGCACTTCCTGCATGCTGTAATACTCCTCTTCCTCCATCTATTCTTCTAGCAGTGTGTCCATTTTTTTCTGCCTCTTCAAACAATTCCTGTTGGGCTATAAACTATCTTAGGCCAGCCTCCTTTATCAGCTCTACTTCAATAAAGTCTGACATTTGGGTGTGATGAAATAAGTGATCACATTAAAGATATTTATGTGTTATATTTCTCTTGGTCTTTCTTGAAGATAGACTTTTTAAAGAAAGTTTTTGCTCTGTCTCTTGGAAAGGCAGCTGCTACACCTTGTTCTCTCTGTGTCTTTGTAGAATGTTTATCTTGAACATTAAATTTATTTTCCTGCCATTTCTTTTTCTTTTCATATTCTGTTTTTATTTATTTTTTATCTACTTTATTCACCCTGCATTCTTTTCATCAGCTGTCATTTTTCCCTCTTTATGCCTTTTCATTTTTCTTTAACTTTCCTATTTTACTTTTTTCTTTGACTTTTCATTTCTCAACTCTTTAAAACTTTCCTTTTTACATTTAATATTTTAATTTCAATTTTCTTTTAGCACTCACATTCAATATTTTGTTTTTGTTTTCTTTTTACTTTCCTCTACTTGTGTTTCTTTTCTTTTCCTTCTTTTAATTTTTTCTGTTTTTTTTTTTTTTTTTTGCATAACTTTATTTGGTTTATTTTCTGTCTTAATTTTTTAGTATGATTTTCTTTCCTTTTTAATTCTCTTTGGTTGTATAAATGTTTTCTCTATATCTTTTGATGTACTTTTACTGATCTTAATTTTTTCTGTGTTCATTTTCCATGTTCATTTTTTCCATGTCTGCTTTGAAGTTTGTTTTTCTTTTTTCCTTTTTTTTCTTTCCACTTTCTCCTTTTATTATAATTTTCTTTTCTTATCATATTTTCTCTTTCTTCTCTTCATCTTTTCCTCCCCAATTGTTTTTTCATCACCCCCATCACTGCTGCTGCGCGATTAATATCAGTCAAGATACACACAACAAGATAATCACACCAATTCAGGGCCCTATGCCCCCCTTCTGACAAAAGCCACCAAAATAAACTATCAATAATCGTTATGTGTGGGGGAGATGCCCAAGACTGGCCAATAATGCAGGTTGTCTATTGTCACATAGAGCAACTAGATAACCAATCGGGAAGCTAGCAGCTACAGTAGTCAGCCATGTTTGCTAACTCTCAGAGATTTCCAGTCATGAGACTCAGGACCCAGGCAACCAGTCTGAGTCTTTGTGTGCAGTGTGTCGTGTTCACCACATCATTGCACACCACACTGCAGGAACAAACTATTGCATGTGTGTCCTTTGTCATCATGTGTGGGGTCTCTGAATTAGATTTTAAAATATTTTGGTGTGTGCCAGGCTTTTAATGATATTTTTTCTCACTTGTTTTTTAATATATATTTTTTTAAATAAGCCGTGCATATTTACTTCAGGTTCTTTCTTCTAGTCTCTCGTCCAATAAGCCTCAATAGGTCCTCTGCTCAATCATTCCTTCTCCATAGAGATGGCTATTGATAATTGCGGATGTCATATTGATGGTATGATGTTGTTACCATGGCTGACCGGCGATTAGATCTGTTGTCGGCATTAATGGTGAGCTGTCACCCACAGTGATAACCTGCTGAACAGATAATGTTGAGTGAATGTGATAGTGCTCGTTTGTGTGCTGATGGGTGGTTGGCAGTCGCTTGGAGGGACATGTGACATTTGACGGACACATGACTCAAGGGTGTGTTCTTTATTCCAGTTTAAATTGCTCATAATTGCTCTCAGCAGCCTTAACTGACTGGATGCTTTAAGGAAAAAGAGAGCTGATAATCTATAGCATTGCACTATTTCAACCATGAGACACACTGCAGTTGAAAATTGCAGAAAATTGATTGAAGCAGTGAAACAACTTGTCATCTTTGTGTTCCCTGATAGCATGATGAATTGCTGCTGTGGACACCTCGATCACCTAAGCTGTCTTGGTAAGCCACACTTGATCACTGTCAGTGAGGCTCGAGATGGTCAGTGATTGCTGTATAGGCAACGGCTTACCACCTTCCTCTCTCTCCCCCGCCTTTTTCTGGCTCACACAGACACACTCATTTGTGTCAATCTAGCAGTCTAGCAGACTAGAGATGAAAACTGTCCAGAAAATAATCTTTCAGAGTACAGCATGAAGGGAACAAATATATGGAGAAAAGGGGTTTGAGAAAGGCTTGAAATAAACAATTGATGAGGTTTATTTGACTGTGGCTAGTCAATACTTTACCAGTGTCACATGTGATTATGGTCACTACGACTTTTAAATTATATTTTACAACTTTAGGTTTCTCTACATAAGAACATTTTGGCTCTCTAAAAGGACCAACCACACTGATGCTCATTTTTTAAAGCTTTGAGGTGTCTTTTACTTATTAACAAACATGTATCCTTGGGCTCTCTTCACAGTTAAAACAGTTTAAATCTTAACAAAGATAATCCTTTATTCAAAAATATCTTCAAACCAATCAGGAGTCAAGACAACATGTTTTATTCTCTTAAACTATGTCAATTTCATGTCTTCTTATCTTTAATTCATATGTTTTCTGAACTAACATGCTCTTGTTGGTTTCAATTATTAAGATTTTTCATACGTGGACTAATACACAGTGGTTAAAACACAAAGAGAATAGCAAGGGGCATAAAGGGAAAAGAAAAACACTAAATCCCAACACACTAATATCCCTGATAGCAAAAGCTTCCTTGTGCACCTCTGCGGCTCTCAAAGACATTAAATGACATGCAGGGGCATGTCAAGAAGTGTGGCAAAAACGTGGCAAGAGCCCCCTTGAAATCTGATTGACCACTCCTGGTCTCGCCTCACAGTTATAAACTATGATTGGCTATTTTCCTCAAAAGATAGAACTGATGGTACAACCAAGTATTGAAACTGCGTCACAGCAGGCTGCCCTCTCTGCTCCTGAATGCAACACGTTTGACTTAAATCAGTGATGTTTAAGATGGTCATTATTGATTTGGTAAATAAAAACTATAAAAACAACTTGTAAAATGTATTTTAAAAAGATATGGTAAATAAAATAAAAGATACTGACATTTAGAATTATAAATATCTACACTGAAAATCACTACAAACAAGCGGCTGCTGGAGGAGAGTAGGTGAGTTGTGTTTAGTCTCTTTGCTTAAGAAATTAGGCAAAGCTAAAAAGATGTTTGGTGGCTAGTGCTGTGGCTAGGACCCTATATGTACTGTTGATGAAGTTAGGTGCTATTCTGAGCATTATTTGTGGCTAAAGAGTGGCTTTTTGTTTGAGGTTTGTGTGTGGCTCCTCAGACCGCTGTGTATTGCTATCGTGTGGCCGTTACTAAAGTTGGTATAACTAGAGAAGCAAGTGGTTGGCAACATTCATCTCCCGACGGGGTGTCTAACTCGGTGTTACGGTGTGTTGACCCTAACTTAATTTTACGCCGGAATATCCCTTTAAGTCTATTGTCCTTTTCCACATGGAAAATAATTCATTTGTTGGCTTTTGACTGGAAAAACTTAATAGATGACTTGTATTTAAATGTGAGGGTATACCAGCACAGGTCATCATCATCATCAATACATAAGAGGGTCATTGTTTAGATCATGAGATAAACGATCACCAAGAGAGCGCTGTCACTGCTGCCACAAAACCTTTTCATTCAAGTAAACTGACATGTCTTTATTGGGAGCCATCATTAGTGACGGGACATGGCATAAATAAGCCTCTCTGAGCATAGGTTAATGTGTTGATCTGGTCCAGGAAGGGGAACCATTTCTCAAAACGCATCCATTACATTGGGAACAGAGCCAAACACAACCACAAGGCACATACTGGATTTCCAGTTTGCACTACTTCCAGTAATAATTATAGTGTTCCTGCATATCACAATTAAAAGACAATCAGAGAGAATGATCAGACAGTCGGTAATAAATCTTAACTCTTCAAGGGGATTGTATGCCAGTATTTAAACAAAGAGAAGAACTTACGAAACACAAAGATTTTCAAGGACACTGTCTCACACTGTTCCCCACACCTCCATACCCTATCAAGTGTCCAGTAAGGCTATTTTATGCTGATTAGGACTCTAATTCTGCACATCAAACTGAAATATCAAATAAAGGATGAGAGAAGTCAAAAATGTGAATAATGAGTAACATTAAAATTCAGAGAAAAAAAATCTATCATTATCCGCTCCTTTTATGCTATATTCCAGATATGGTTTTATGCACCCTCCGTCTCCTCTTTTGCCCTTTTAACACCTCTTACAGTCTCCTGCTTTTCTGCTCACACACAAATCAGTTGAATTTCTAAGGAAACATCAAAGGAGACGGATTCACCAGGGCATGCAGAGGGTGCCAAGAAATCGTTTTAAAGTGCTGAGCTCAACAGATGCCCCGTGCATCCAGCCTTTGCACACGGCTCCGGCCAATGAGGTATGCTGTCATCCAAATCATGATTTGTAGACATAAATCATACAATGGGTTTTTCTGACATTTAGCCACACAAAAGCTCAACTGTCTGAGAATATTATGGAAGAACCGGTGGTTTCTGTTCCTCTGCTGCCTGAAAGACAAGACTTTCGCCCGGTATCTTACAATTTTTAGGCCATATTTATACACTTTTGTCAGTTATTGATTGTGGCTCTGTTGGAATGATGTGAGCATTATACATAAAGAATAGAAATTACCAGGTTATAAAAGGTATGGTCTGTTTTTTTGGGCAGAGGTTTAAAAGGTCTTCTTGTGTGACAGTTCCGTTTGCAGTCAGGAAAGTATAACATCTTCATTCCCTTGAGCTGTGTAACTCTTTTTGGTACTGATGTAGAGTATGTAATCTTGCCAGCTATAATAGCAAATTTCCAACGGTATCATGTCATGCCCAGTGGGTGATACTGGGAGTCATGAGGTCCCGTGTCTGTAGCTGGTTTAGTTAGGGTGATCATACGTCCTCTTTAACTTAGATATGTCCTCTTTTTGGTGGGGCTGTCCAGCATTAACGGGCCTCTCTGGAGGTGTTTAATAAATCCCTCAAGTGTCCGGGGTTTTGTATGGAAGTTTTGAGTTTGTGTATCATGGATTAACTGAGTTAGAAGCGCGTAAAAAAAATCACCCGGCCTGACCTGAAAAACCCTCAAAATTTGCGCGTGACTCTGGCCCATGTTGTACTGTCCTCTTTTTGGGGATTCAGAATATGGTCACCCTGGTTTAGTACCATCTTTTGGTCAAATATTGTCAAATAGTTAGACCCTCTGTTTGTATTTTACAGTATACTAGTATATTGCCACTGAGCAAGGTCAGCATATATAGGAATATCACTCAAACCAGTGCAGGTAAGTTAATGGAAAAACTAAAATCAGAGCCCCAGAAATGATCCCAGGGGTACACCCATATCCAAACTAAGAGGCATTGAAAGCTTACTATTACCATTTATTAGGATTTGGGGAAATGTTTCATATCAGTTCTAAGTGTAAGACAGAAATACCACGTTTTGTTGGTTTGTAGAGTTACTGTACTTGCAGTCTCATAATTGAGGGCAGTGGTTCGATGGAAGACCAGGAGGAAAACTTTTGGACCCCAGTCAAGCTATAGCTAGCTTTATTGGACTGAAGGAGCTTTGAAGAGGATGTAATCATGGTGGAAGCAAAGAGAAAGTCGGATAACTCGGTCAAAGAACAACAAAGTTCATGAAGCAGGGAGGTCAAGGTGGATTGATGGGTTGAGAAAATGCAAATTTACAAACGTGTTAAAACATCATCGTCCAAACCTTTGATACCGAAAAGCCTTCCCCTTACCCTCCACAAAGTGGTCAAGCACTGACCTTTCCTTAGCGTGACCTTTCACTAAACCCGACACATTGGTGTGGCTACATCAAACAAGATCTCAGTCAGTGGAAGGCAGAGGCATTGACTCACAACATGCCTAGCTGTTTGATCAGGAGAATTTGCCATGCTCCGTTCACAGCAACCTCATTAGATGAATACAGATGACTAACTTTGGATTAGTCCATCTGATCAAACAGCATGAATCTCACACTCAATAATTGCACACAGGTGCACGGGTAACATAAAATGATCTGAAGTCCCTGAGAAAATACTTCATACATGTCCAAATGATTTTGATTAGAGGCACAATCACAGAGGCCACAGATATATTTCGAATTCTGCCGCATTCAGATCCAATCAACAAAGAATTGATACTGCAGACTTTTGCCAATCCAAGAATCTTTCTCCCCCAAATTGCATGCTTTCCTTGAAGTCATCTTGACCTATTTCCTATCCTTTGAGTGTTGACTCTTATCAATAGAAAAAATCTGTTCAAAACCCAGTTGGAAAGAGCAACATGATGATCTTTCTTCAGTGATGATGTGGTCAGAAATGTCATTTGTTTATACTTTAAATAGCATCAGAGGAAGAGGAAGAATAACCCTTATTTTTTTAGTCAAACTGCATGATTTATCACCGCATCATTGGAGTAAACAAAACATCCCCCAATATGTTATGATGTAAACAAAGACCTCAGACAGTACAGAGAAATCTAAAATGGAAACTATTCTCAGAGTTTACTTTGATGGACTGATGAAAATGAGTTGCAGCAGACGACTCTGTTGAAATGTTTGCTGGTGGACAGATGGATAGCACATTGACGAGTAAAGAAGGCAGACAGACTGTGTCGTTTCGCACAGAGGCGGGAAAAAGTGGCGACAGGCTAACTTCATGCATATTGATGCCAGCCAGCCACACTGGCCTGTGTTTGATTGAATAGTCACACAATGTGAAAAGGCAGGCTACGTTTCATGTTCTCCCATCAATCAGTGCAGCAGACTGCAGCTCTTCCAGCTTTGTTTTAGTGTCAATTAGCTGACATGGTTCAGGTTGCAAGACGATTTTCGAGTTCTGTTTTTCATGAAGCAGATAGCATATCACGTACAGCTGTGGGACCAATCAACCCCTTCAAACATCAGCCGAGCAGATTAATGGTAGGAAAAGCCTGAGTGATTTACTCATAAAATTTGCTATCCTGTAATGAAGCACAAACATTTCTTTCAGTCACCTGAAATTGCATTTAGCTTAGTAAGATGCTTGGCCATTTGCATTTGATGAAAATTACCTGTTGATACGTCTGATCTTTAAAAATTAGACTTTTTATGGAGAGGGGAGGTAAATTATCATGAAAATGCAGTCTTAACTCTTTACTTAGATATCCATCAGGACAGGTATACACTGTCCAATCTCAAAATGTTGTGGAGGAGAGTGAACTCAACTTGTTTGATGCACAGCCAAAGCTCACGACTTACAGTGTGTGCTCATACTGTATGATCCAACTGTCGAGCACTACCTAAGTTCATTATCTCATTACTGGGGGAATCAGGAGTGTGTAGACAGTCTGCAAAAGAGGATAAAGAGGACATCAGAGGAAGAAGGAAAAAGAAAAAAACAAGTCAGTGGGTGGGCGAGAAGAAATGTCAGTTGGGGGCCAAAACAAAATTAAAAGAAAACCTCTTTTCTCTTTCTTTTCTTCCTCTCCCCAGTTCAGACAAGGAGGGGTGTGGATCTGGCTGAGACACAGTGTTCATTTTCACACTCATTTGCAACAGGTGCAACAAAATTAGTCCAAATCCTCTAACTCTATGTGACAATATTATAATGTCATTTTGAAGATGCTTTTATCGAAAGTGACGTACATTCGGGAGCAAAAGGAAACAAAATCTGTAAGAGCCAAAAAGGCTTAAAGTCTATCTGGATGCAGGCACATTGTGAAAGACAACGCACAAAGTGAATCGTGATCCCCTAATAACACACAGTGACCATCCAAACAGATAAGAAGATAATGTAGTCTGATCTTCTTTGATTTGATTTGTCAAAGAAAACTAGTAACCCCGCCGTTGTCAAGATAATGTGTCCTGCAAGGACCTAACCCTATCTGCAGGCTGTTTCATTGTTCTGTCCAACTGTCATCTTGTTATCAAGTTAATATCAAGAAAATTTGGGAAAATTGTTCAGAGTTTCCAGTGTCAGGTTTGAGTAAATTAATCAAACACCCTGATAAATTGGTGCACAATATATCTCATGGAGAACAATACTGAAAGGAACTTTTGTATGAGACTGTGAGAGCTCGACTTACTGATATAAACAATATTGGTTTGTTGTAGTGAGAATGTGTCCCCACAGAAGACAGCTGTTCAGCTTTCGGTACAGAGTAAAAAAAAAAGCTGAAGTAGGCCAAAGAAAAAAAAAAAAAAAGATTTTGAAAAATCTTTCTTGCAAACACAATCTGCAACTTTTAACAACCTTTAGCAGCACCGTCAAATCAAGAAGGAAGTTGATCATCTTCTGATGATTTCTCAAAAGGAAGTGCTCTGCAGTCTGCACCACTTCAACATTGATCTGTCAGTGCTCGCTCCACATGCTTCATAAATCCAGACTTTCACCCCATACTATTAAAATATTTAGTTCAAACTAGACATACTTGTACTTGCTTCACTTAATTCAATAAATCTGACAAATATTGTCAAATATATCCCCTGCCGTCTCGACACTTTTTGTCAAGACCTTTTAAAAGGTTCCTGGATAAATTGGGGCTCGTCTATCTTGGTTGTTTTGTCTCAAATACATTTTTGTGCCTCAGGTAGCTGTGGGTGCAGTGTCTCAATAATGGCAGCTGATTGAGTGTTTTAGCAGGCTGGTTTTATCCGCATGATTTTTTTTTGCCAACAGTGCTTTGACTGGTTTTGCACCGGTGCTTTATTATGTAGCAGACATAATAAAGCACACGTTTAACTAAGTTAATGTCACAGTCTAATACTTAATGCATAAATTAAAACTTATACTCCCCGTTAGTCCCCCTTTTTTAACATTATCTTTTTCGATAAAGTGTTACGAGGACATTACCAGATTTTGTGAAGTATATCCAGAAGATATTGAAGGGTTGTCTGCTTTGAGGTCACTTCAGTTGCAGGAGAGTCTCTGAAGGCTTTCAAATTGTCTATAAAATCCCATCTAGGGTCTTGAAGTCTATAACCATCAGATGGTTGAAAACAGAACCTCCATCATACAATACATGGATTCAAATCGTGTGGGATATTTATCAAATGGAGCAGATCACATTTGCCCTAAGGCTCCAGAAAGCCACCTTCACTAAAAGATGGGAACCTGTACTACCTTTGTTGCTGCAATGACAATATTAATTATGTAAAACCCTTCTGTTGTATATCAAAATGCTGTCATCCTGCCTCTGATTGACATTTGTACCAGTAATTCTGTACTCTAAAGTGGACATTACCTATTCACTTGATATAACGATTGTTTTTGTTTTTTATTTCCACCTTCTATTGCCTATGGATGTTTGTAAAAATACACTTACAGCTGAGGAAGAGGAAAGGAAACATAATTGTTTTGAAATGTATATACTGTACTCTACTGTAAAATTAAAAAAAAGAGAGAGAGAAATAATAAAAACTAAGTTAAAAAAAAAAAGAAATCCCATCTAGGGCCTTCTTAAATGATATTAAAAGATGAACCTTTGGAAGTGTCCACCATTTTTGCAAAGTAGTTTTGTCGGCTCTGTTAGATAAAGTTAAATTTTGTGAGTTTCACATAGCACAGACTGAAGCTGAGGTGGTGATACAGCTGGTCAAACTTCTGGGCAGCAGATATTGTTGTAAAACATGCAATTTGAGTGAGGATAAAATGCTGCAGACTGTGACGCTTGTGGTTAAGAGAATGTAACAGAAAATATCTATATATTGGAAATGGAGTGTGCCAAATTTACAGTTGATGAAAGTTAACTGTCTCTGTAATTTAATCAGATGTGCCAAAGCTGTGTGGAGTGCTGTGTGGGCTGATGTGACATTGTGCCTCTGGAAAGCTGGATGAGAGCTGCCTGGGACACCCACAAGTGTTACTATTCTACAATGTAAAGCTGACATAACATTAATGTGCCAGCTCATGACTAACTCAACCGGTTCGGGGCATAAAAAGGAAAAGTGCCCACTTAACGAAGGATTTCCCAGCCTGAACTATCTCTACCTGTTTGAGAGGAGGACAGAGGGCAGGGGGATTTGGTTTAATTTGAGTAAATACATCCGTTGGCGGAGCAAAAACAAGTACATTGTATTTGATGACGTTTATCAAAACAGGGAAAAAAGAAATAAGAACTAATTTGTTATTTCCCTTCTTTGAGTTTAAAGCTTTTGAGGATTCAGTGGAAATGATGGGAAGTTTTTAGTGCAACATGCAAAGTCACTCAATAATACAAACAGAAAACAGGACAAATCCACCAGTTTTCTGTGATACCGAGAGGCTTTCACTGATTGGACACAATGCCATGAGTCTTATCAGACCAAGGCAGTTAATAATCTTAATTAACACCTGGGTGCTTTTAAGACTCCGATTCATTTATAGACAGGACAAATTCAGAGGAATTAGCAAAACGACAAAGTTAACCAAGGAAGTGTTCAATACTAATGTGTTATTTAACACCTAATCTGAATCATTACAATAAAAAACAAAGCAAAACATGTCGTTTCTCTCGCTCATTACCACTTATTTTTGTGCAGTAGGGAAAAACTGAAGGCGTTGCATTCATAACTGGATTGGCTTCTGTAACAACTTAAAAAACTGAAATTAAAAAGGAGGGAAGCAGCTCCCCTCATAGATGGCCGTAAGACATTTTAAACTGCCAAAAAAAAAAACTTACAGAGAGAGTACTGCCAGAAAGTACGATAATATTTGAACTTGGCACCAAAAAGCCTGGATCAGTGGCATCAGGAGATGGTGTAAAATCTTGATGAACGGATCTCATTCATCAAACATGAGCAGAACAAACTTGAATGTAGCTCCTTTACAAGATTGATCATTTCTATGTTTATTATCATGTCTTTGTTGGGTTTTATTTTGTTAAATCACATCTGAAGTATTTTTAGAGATTGTGATGAGAACTGATTTTTGGCAGACAATGGTCTGCTAACAAACTCCAAACTCTCCCTTTGCAAACTTCATATCACAGATATATTTTGGGTTTTGCACTCACAGAAAAATCATAGCAGCAATGAAGTTAAAGATTTCTAAAAAACTGAGCTTTCTTTCCAACAAAACAATATTAAGCCATAAGGAGCTCTGAGCAGACAACTTTAGTTGGCGTGCTGGGCATGGTAACCAGCCTGAACTTCAGACTCTGTCCAGACTCATCCCTGCCTTTACAAGCAGCCTTCAACTTGGGCAAACATTATATCTGCTTCTGCTTTATTGGGATATTTGTGTCCCTTTAGTTTTCAGTAAAAGACAGTCTGTCTTATAGCGCAAAAGTTTTTAACAATTTGGCTCTCTTCTGTCCTTGCTCTGGCCAATCCTCTGACCATACTGAAATCCATATTTATATCCCCTCATCCCCTGTTGCTTAAGGTCATTTGTGGAGGCCTCTGAGTCCAGTTATCCCTTCTTTTAAATTCTACTGTTTTCTCTTTCCCATCAATTTCAGTTTGCCTTCCAGCACTGATTTTCAATGTAGTCCAGCAGGGTAAACAATCAATCCATTTCCTGCATCGAAGACTTTGTTGTTTTCAAATTATTTTATCTATGATTTAATCCTCTTACTTTCTATCCTCATAGTTTGGAACTTAACCTGGGTGACTCTCAAGATCCTCAGTGCTTGTATCTCTCTAATACTGCCCTCCAGTCCTTTGTTTGTTCAATCTATGATCTACTAAATAAGGCACTTGAAGATTTGAGTTTGTCTTCTTTGGAGTGAAAAATATGTTTAGAAATTTTCATTGCAGTCTCATTGTCTTAGGTTGTGTCGTGACATGCAAGGCAATCTTACAAGGGAACATTCAAGTATGTTGCAAAGAGGTATCTGTCCAACAGAGAGTGATCGATTCCCAGTCATCTAAGTCAAACCCACTTCACATAAGACCAATGAGCTCTGGGCCTCCTTGTCCAATGCAATCAACCTCTTTGCTACTACATAACCTGTTGTTTTCTGCATATCATCAAACCTACATTTGAGTTAAAGAGGGGATAGAGTGAGATGCAGAAAGAGAGAGAGGGACCGAGGTGATATTGATGCATGTAGTTGAAGCAGCTGGAAAGCAGGGGGGTGCACAGCAGTAAAACGTCTGCAGCAGCGATCCAGAGAAACTTATGGCATGATGCAGCACAAGAAAAAACTCTATATTGGTGTCTCAAATGGGGCCTGATGATTCAAAGTTAATGGCACGGACAGAAAGTGGATGAAGAAGGAGAGAAAGTAGAAGACTGCACATCCAACACCATCTTGTCCCTGGCCTAGCAACTTCACATTTACACAGACAATGCTGTTATATATTTAACTCTAATAACCAATACATTTAGAGCATATATAAATGAGATCAAGACCTTACCACAGTAAATGTTATTACCGAGCATGGCAGCTTACTTTGATAATGCGGTTTTTATCTTGATTTTCCATGATTTCTCCAGCTGGGAAATGGTGAACTCCAGGCGGAACAGACATCTAACCCTGGCTCTTCCTTGTAACTCCTCTTTCCTCTGTTTCCCTCTCCTTCCTTCCATCATAAAACTGAGGGAATGAGGAAGGCAGAACAACCTTCTCACCAGACTCTCCTCTTCCTGCCTGTCTCTTTTCTTTCCTATTTTGCATGTTGGTATGATGCGGGTAAGAGCTGGCATTGACGGGGACAGCTTTAGGGCGCTGCGGCTAATTGTTGAGCCTCCTTGAGCTGTCGTGGGCCTACCTTGACAAAGCACCACTTAAGGGAGGTGTCCACTTAATAACCCCAGTGACACCCAACTATCCCCTCTTCTATCTTCATGTCTGGGAAGTAGGGGACCTTGAGGGCCATGTGGTAGGTCATAAAATCTTTCAGTAGGGCATAAATGTTGGCATGGGATAGGGCTGGGCGATATTAGGAAAAGTTTATCACAATATATTTTTTTCGTATCAGTCGATATTGATATACACTCACCGGCCACTTTATTAGGTACACCATGCTAGTAACAGGTTGGACCCCTTTTTGCCTTCAGAACTGCCTCAATTCTTCGTGGCATAGATTCAACAAGGTGCTGGAAGCATTCCTCAGAGAGCTTGGTCCATATTGACATGATGGCATCACACACTTGCCGCAGATTTGTCGGCTGCACATCCATGATGCGAATCTCCCGTTCCACCACATCCCAAAGATGCTCTATTGGATTGAGATCTGGTGACTGTGGAGGCCATTTGAGTACAGTGAACTCATTGTCATGTTCAAGAAACCAGTCTGAGATGATTCCAGCTTTATGACATGGCGCATTATCCTGCTGAAAGTAGCCATCAGAAGTTAGGTACATTGTGGTCATAAAGGGATGGACATGGTCAGCAACAATACTCAGGTAGGCTGTGGCGTTGCAACAATGCTCAATTGGTACCAAGGGGCCCAAAGAGTGCCAAGAAAATATTCCCCACACCATGACACCACCACCACCAGCCTGAACCGTTGATACAAGGCAGGATGGATCCATGCTTTCATGTTGTTGACGCCAAATTCTGACCCTACCATCCGAATGTCGCAGCAGAAATCGAGACTCATCAGACCAGGCAACGTTTTTCCAATCTTCTATTGTCCAATTTCGATGAGCTTGTGCAAATTGTAGCCTCAGTTTCCTGTTCTTAGCTGAAAGGAGTGGCACCCGGTGTGGTCTTCTGCTGCTGTAGCCCATCTGCCTCAAAGTTCGACGTACTGTGCGTTCAGAGATGCTCTTCTGCCTACCTTGGTTGTAACGGGTGGTTATTTGAGTCACTGTTGCCTTTCTATCAGCTCGAACCAGTCTGGCCATTCTCCTCTGACCTCTGGCATCAACAAGGCATTTCCGCCCACAGAACTGCCGATCACTGGATATTTTTTCTTTTTCGGACCATTCTCTGTAAACCCTAGAGATGGTTGTGCGTGAAAATCACAGTAGAACAGCAGTTTCTGAAATACTCAGACCAGCCCTTCTGGCACCAACAACCATGCCACGTTCAAAGTCACTCAAATCACCTTTCTTCCCCATACTGATGCTCGGTTTGAACTGCAGGAGATTGTCTTGACCATGTCTACATGCCTAAATGCACTAAGTTGCCGCCATGTGATTGGCTGATTAGAAATTAAGTGTTAACGAGCAGTTGGACAGGTGTACCTAATAAAGTGGCCGGTGAGTGTATATCACAATATAAAAAAATAAAAATGAACAGTGCTTATTGGTAGCTTGTCTTCTGCAATACAATAAGCTACTGCATCTGTGAGGTTTTTGTGTCTCTTGGACGTTTTGTCGTAAGGCGTTGCGCCAGAGAAAGCAGACTAAATGGTTTTGCATTGTGCGTGCTCTGCCGCGCGGCACTGCTTCAGGTGGTGAAAAAGATTTGAGGTATTCCCCGACTTTGCGAGAACATGTATTCGACATAATTTGCTGTGCACATTACTCTTCTTCATGTCCGACCTCAAAAAACGAAAATACCTCCACACCACCGCAATTTTGATGACAGTGTTGTCAACGATGTCGTCAGTGCTGTCCACAGTGCACCGTCAGTGCTGTCCACTTCATGTGTAAAAGTGCTATGGTTGTGTGTAGCTTATTTTGATATTGAGGGAAAATTATTTTTCGAACTATATCGTCATCGTTTTCTCGCCCAGCCCTAGCATGAATGGGTTTGTTATTTTAATTTTAAAAATCATGCTCATTGAGACCTTTGGAGAAAATATGTAAAACCAAACACAGAAACTATCCAACCTGCATGTGTGGTCAGAATTTGATCTACCATGTCCCAGTACGCCAACAGCAGCAATGCTCAGTCCTGGAAATACACCGTGAAGTTGCCTCTCTCTTTATGAATTCATTCAAACCTGACTACTGACTTAGAAAACCACATGTGACTCCATTTCTCAGACGAACAGACAGTCACACAATCCCATTAAGCCCGTCTAAAGTGTATGAGATCATTTGTAAAATGTTAATGAATAATTGTTTGTCTGAAAGGCTCTTTCTGCTTGTTTGACTCTCTCCAGTACAACTGTGCTATGGTCCATTGCTTTGCACTCTTTAACCAGTCTCTACAGCGCCATGAAATCTCATCAAGCAGTCAGTTGCCTTCAGCTTTGCACCCCTGGCAGGATGTGCTCAATACTTAGCATTCTTTAGACTGCTTTGAGGCTAGCTAGAACTACTCAGCCACACAAAACCATGACTGCATCACTTTTCTGCTACACAAACAGCTTGCAATGCTCTTGCAATACAGATAGCTGTTTTACATATTAAAGAGCATTAAAGGAGAATACAACATAGCACTCACAGTCCCCAAAGTGGATGATACAATATGGGCTGTGATTTTGGAAATTTTGCAACTGCCACAACATAGTTCACATGTTTTAAATGTGACTAAAGTAGCTTAATTTATCAAAGCAATATATAGCTGCGATCACAGTTCATTTAATGAGATAAATGAGGAGATTTGTCACATGTCTACAGCATATTTAGAGCCTTTAATTCACCTGATTTGCATGTCTATTGTATGCGCCAGGAAAATGAAGCAGCAAAACTTTTAAGTTATCTCTTTTTATCCCCTTTAAGTGTGTGTGTGTGCGTGTGTGTGTGTGCGTGTGTGTGTGTGTGTGTGTGTGTGTGTGTGTGTGTGTGTGTGTGTGTGTGTGTGTGTGTGTGTGTGTGAACTCCTGTATTGGCTTGGGGCTGCCGGCTTCCTCAGTCTTTGTACTGCTGATAGGCTAATTCTCCCAGTTTAATTGGGCCATAATAGAAAAAAAAGACCTCACTAACTTCAGATTAGTTGAAATAAAGCTTTGATTACGTAGTTTAGCATTTTAATTACCCCTCATATTACATCACTCACACAGTTTAAGACCAACCTGGCTCTAATGTACCCCCTGTGTTTCACCATGTGGCTGCTAACCATGTTGGGCTGTGTCTATGTCTGTGTGTCCATGGCAACCATTCCGCTTGTTTTAAAGATTTTTAAAAAAAATTTTTAGACTCACAATCTTTAGTTTATGATCACTTTTTACATATTTGATTCAGTACTGTACTTGAACTTTACAAAAACCAAAACTAAATTGGCTCGGGTCAACAATGGGAGGAAGTCTGCAAAAGAGTGAACCCCTGCAGGATTACTTGATAGCCTAAACGGAGCAACGATATGTGCTGCGAATACTGTTCACGCATGGATGCAATAAAAGATGAGACGCATGATAACACAGTCTGTTTTCATTAGTTGGGGTAATAGTATATTCATCGTTGTGAGAAAAGAAATGTCTCAATACCATTGGCCTGTGACCCATGAGGGTATAAAAAGATGAGTCTACCAGGTTGACACTCAAAGAGGGGCACGGTTATTCAGTTTAACTCTATTAACATTAACTCTGATGATACTTGATCACTTACTTTTGTTTAAAATGTACTTAAAATAGTGATAAAACTTGCAGAAAGTTTGACTTTTTACCCCCCAAACCAAAAGCTGTACGCAGTGAATACTCTGTGGCAGCTGTGGATACCATCTATCCAGTGTGCTCGAGTTATGATGAAGTCTTAAAAGGATTCAGTCAACAATGTACATGATTACAATAACTATACACCAAGGCTACTCTTAACAATAAGGCCACTCAAGCTATCTGCACAACCCAGCCATCATCTACAATGTTGGCTCAATTCAAGACCAGAACACAATCATTTTAGCAGTTGTGGGTAAATAGTTACTTCATTCAGCTTCAAGGCATGTTTGACAACAACTGGTAGTAAGCATCTATAATCAAAGCCTCTTGGCCTACATAAGAATAAGAATAACTTTAACATACAACACAACCCCACACCAACAGACTTTTTTTTATTCATGTACTGACTCACAAGTTGTTAAAACTTTTGTATTTTTCTGTCCAAGTTGACAAAGATGATCATTTGCCCAAAAGTCAACATTTTCGCTGCTCTGACAAGCTAACTGAAAACATGAAAGAGCATCTTGGCCAGCCCCCTATAATGAAATATGTGGCTATTAAGTATGTGCAACAGTAATGACACAAAGACTGTCCTGCAGTTGTTGTGCTTAGGCTTCCTTTAACAATATTGCAATTCGGACACAAAGAACTCACTGAAAAATGCAACAATAGAGCACTGAATCATATGACTCCAAAGAAAGCAACAAGCTCCAGACGTCAATGTAATCTAAGAACTTAAAGCATAAGGGGTCTATCCCATTAGCTTTTGTATTGTACCAATATTAATATTTACCTGCTATAACAACACACTCAAAAAAATTATTGATCTCAACAATTTCCACCAAACTCAATTTTATTAGAATTAATCAAGTAATAATATAAAAATGACAATGATTAACTTAAATGCAAGCAAAAAGACAACATTAAGTGATTCTAAAATTATCTGGCCAACTCATACTTAGTAGGTCAGTGTCCAGCTAACTTAAATGACAAACATAAATTTGTCATTTTAGTTGTTTTAACAGCATCATTCTTCAAAAGAGAAAAGAAGGTAAATTTCTTAGAGGGGTTTTCATATTAATATTATATCTTGCAGCAAGACACATCACTGTTACAGCAAAGTGTTTAGGCTAATACTTTTAGCATGCAACTTATTGACTATTTTTGTTTACAGGCAGTGTTTATTTGTGTTTTATTGCATGGTGGAATGGCATGAATCAAGAGGGAAAAAAGGTTATTTTCTGATTGATTTTACAAGACCACAATTCCACACAAGATAGAGCTCGTCCTGTCCCCATCTCAGCATCACCATTGGTGAAACAGACACAGATCTGATGCTGAGATTGTTACATCAAAGACATAGAGAAGAAAGATTCAGAAAGCATTGTAATCTGGTTGTGATGCTTACGCGTGCTGAACTCACTCTCTGTGCACACAGAAACAATCCAGAAAACAGCAACAACAGATGTTAACAGACATGGAGTCAGCTTCTGGGCATGCACAGAATTAGCCTACGGAGACCCATCTGGGACAATCCTTATGTAGAGTGTTTTCATTTTGATGGAATAGCTTTAGATTGTGCGATTCACTCAACAGTTTTGTGTTGTGTTTACTCAACTGCCTTTTTTGTCTTTACTAAATCTTAAGGATCATGTTTTATAAGACAAAATCAGATTGCTAATTAAAGTTGGTGAAGGTGCATTTCTTTAAATCAACAACTCACAAAGTTAAATTTTTTGAGTGCAGGTCTCATATTTTTTTTCCAAATGGGAAAGCTTACATTGTCACAAAAACACATTGCAGCAGCTGGTCACTTCCATAGTTACCACAGGAATACAGCCTCCATTGTGTTTGTCCACAGGGTGTGGCAAGTGTTACTGAGAGGATTAAAAACCAAAAAGCCAAGGCACTGGCTCACACTGTCAGCCTGAATAGTTGCCTCAGCAGGTCAGATACCAGCAGCATTGTGTAAAAACCTGTGAGAAGTGACTCAGTAGCTAAAGTGAATGAAGCATTCACAAAAAATATGAAATTACATGCAGCCTGTGAATTATACAAAATGCCACATGCGGTGTCACACTTTGCATCTGAAAAGCACAGAATTTCATTTTCTGACTGTCTCACAGTCTTTCTCGTCGGAACTCAATGTGAATGATATCCATACACCAGGAGAAGAAGGTGCCCATCATTCATAGCATGTAATTAAATAGAGTGAAAATAGACCACTTTGCACCAGGTAGTAACAGTATCTCACATCCAGGCTGCGTCACTTGAATGAGTCTGTTACAGGCGATGGTGTCTCTATGATCACCTTCATAACTGTTCCTCCCATGTTCTATTTCTCATACAATACTGTCTACCAGCTTCCTGCTGCCTGCTCGTTCGTTGTTTGCCGGCTCCTGAAGAGAGATGCCGTCATTTATCCGGATGTGGACTGAATGTACAGACTATAATCTTTCCACGGTATGCCTGACACTATTTCTGCACCTCATACAGAAATATTATTGGTAAATGAAGCGCAAGTAGCTCCTATAGTTTCCTAGTCCAGGTTTTGGTTTGTGTCTTTGTTATAAAACCTACATTTTACCTGTGGTCTCCTTGGGTTTGGCAAACATATTTTATTGATAACACTATAAGTCTTCAAGCTTGTAGATTCCTCTTGCCCTCCCCTGATGGCATGTTCCCCATGTGGCCTGTCGCAGTTTGGTCTCCGTTGCCATCCTTTAATAATTTGGTAGGTATTTTTGAAGTGCCACTGCAGCCTGTTGCCCAGTTTTGTACGTGTTTGAATTCTTTGAGGGCCATCGATCTGGCTGCAGAATCTAGGTGTGCCCTCTAGTCACCAGAGACTTCAGAGGCGAGGGGATGGAGGTCACTTTTTCTGTACACTCTGCTGTCTTTAACCCTTTAGAGCCTGACACCACAAATTATGGCCAGAAAATTCATATTTTTTTAGCTGAAATGTTTATTTCACTTACTGATGGAAACCAAAAAAGTCTAAATGTCCTCAAAATTTAACAAATATATTTATTTATCTCATTTGATACATTAGACATTTTTGGAAACTAATAAACTACAACATTTTTATTATTTATTGGACTGTATTCAGGTGTTTGTTTTAGTAATTTGTTGATCATATCGATTTGATAGAAGTATATAAAAGTATGTATCAAATATGATACAAAAGGCAATAAAGGGATAAACATTAAGTTTTTTTTTTTTCAATTGGGGACAATACATGGGAAAATACATACTGCAATGTAATGGGATTTTCTCTTACATCATGAAATCTGTGCATGTCACAGATTATGAGCAGTAAAAGTACACACTTACGGCCACACATTTTTTAAAATGTTTTGAGATATTCAGAGTTTTCTGTCTTAGATTTAGAGCTGGTTCAGCCACAAAACAGTGGTCTCTGGATTGTTCTCGGTTCAAAGGCCATTTTTTTTCTTATTTGAGTAGGAAAACCTCTTAGCAGGTCTTCTCGCCACTGTTTAACCATTCCACTGTGTTTACTGAGTGTACAGATACAACCAGAGGCTATTTTTGTTGCACGAAATCTGGCCAAAAAGACTTGCTTGCTTGTTCATTTTTAAATGTTTTTCAGTCTTTGAATAATATTCTTGCACAAACTAACAGAAATGTTCTTAAGGTCAATTTATTAATTTTGATTGAAAGGAAATTTTAATTCAGACCAGTCTATAGGTATAAATGTAAGAAGACACTAAAATAACAGTCAGGAATTAGCACAATGTATTTGACCCAGCTAAACCCTGTTTAAAACCATATTGTATGTAAACTATTTCACTTCTATTTGAAACTCTTTATCACATACTTTCTGTACATGAAAACATGACATTTCTCATCACTCCAAATAACTAAATAAAAGTCAGCACACTACATTTAAAATGAACTTAAAGATAACATTAAAAAAATAATAATAAATACGTTAGTAAGTCAAGCCTAGTGATAGAATTATATACTAATAAGAGTTAGGCCTCGACTAGCGTTTTCAATCTGTTGAACATCAGGAGGCTGTCACAACACATCCATATTCGAGGGTATTATATACTTTTGTCCACTAAATTCAACATTTCAGCATGTGTTCATTATAACCAGAGAAAATAGAACAGACGAAATAAAAAAGAAGAAACCCTGGAGTGACACGCAGACATTTTCTTATCTTTTGAATTTATAACCACCACAACAAGCCTTTTGAGTTCTGCATAAATAAACTAATGTGTATTTTGGATTCATAACTAGCCTTGAAAAAGAAAAAAAGACAAACACTTCAGTGTGGCTAAACATCAGTACTGGTCCATCTTCCCCCTGCCTCTAGCCAGTGGTGCATAGTATGTGGGGGTGTGTGCATGTTTGTGTTGTTTTGACTGCTTATGGCTATGTGCTCGTGCCAACTGATGGGCTAATGCCTAATGTAAGATGAGAAGGTGGCAGAATAACATCCAGAGGCACCCGTGTTTCCCAGCTGTTATTCTACTCCATTTAATAGGCTCCTATCCCTGCTCCATGGCCTTAAGGGTGGTTACCAACAAGGAGCCATTTTTGATTTGACAGACCTCGGGCACTGAGCCTCAGCATTAAAAAAACACTCAGCAAGCCATGGGACTTTGGGAATTAAGCACAGTTGAAAGAGTATTTGTGTGGCATTTTGTTAAATATTCCAAAGTTATCTATCTGGCACATTTGCCCTTTTCACAGATTAATCAGTGTGGCTAGTGTGTTTCGGTGTCCAAGGGTGTTCTTTTTAGCAAGGCAAGAATTGCATATCCACACTGGATGGTACTTCATGAAGTGATAATAAATCAGACCACCTATTTACCCCACATTGAGCCCGATGAGGTGAAACAATTTTGCTAATTTTGGCCTGATGAAAAGATAACCCTCATGGGGCTCAAGTGAAGTCATCAAAACATCTGCTGTCAGCCATTAACAGCTCCCTGTGCTCTGCTGATGCAAGATGTTTTTCACTCCGTTCTTATCGCGGACGCAAATTTATTACCTTTCATGTTATTTACACCAACTCTATGATTGATGTAAAATTGTCTTTTTTTCGGCACTTTGATAAGCTCGTTCATAAATGGTTAAACTCAGGGAGATACTGTAGCTTTTTTAAAACTCTCATTAAAATCTAACACGCTGCTTTGAATAAATGTATGAGAATCTTCAGGAAACCACCAAAAAAGGGACAATAAATCTGCTACAGGACACATTAACACTGCATGAACATGCACCTAGATGAGACTAAGGTCACAAGCGCACCAGAATGGCTCACCTACAGGCTGCCCTCATTGGGAGGCTATAAAACAGTATGTTTGTCAGACCAGACTGCATCATTTTAATCCCTATACTCCATGTGAGTGAGCACTAACCTGGATGCAAGTGTTTATAGATGGTAAAAAACATCAAATCAGAAATAGTTTCCTTTTGTCTTTTATCTCTGACATGTAATCTTTTTCAAGTACCTTTACACGTTTCGGCGTAAACTTCCTCAGATTTGTCACTTAGTGGTAGGTGTGACGCCTCATATCAGCTGGTGTTACGGAGGCGTGGACCTCCTGTCAATTTTTTTGGGACGGTGACAGGACGGTGACGTCTCCCGCCGTCTGTTCGCCTCTGCAGGATGCTGCTCCAGGTGTGTGAGAGCATGTTTGCCCCCTCATCCCTGAGGATGTATGTCCCCCCATCCCCAAGGGGGCATACATGCTCTCACACACCTGGAGCAGCATCCTGCAAAGGCGAACAGACAGCAGAGACGTGACCCGTCAAAAGAAAATTGACAGGAGGGTCACGCCTATGATGTGTCACACCTAATGACACTTATGAGGGAGGCGGAAGTTTACACTGAAACATGTCAAGGTACATAAAGAAGATTACATGTCTGACAGAAAACAAAAAAGACAACTATTGCCAAGAAACTGAAGACATAATGACCATCATTCAACTATGGTCAAATCTGGTCTGTTGATCCAAGACCTAATTATTACCACATTTTAAAACGTTACATTATTGCATAGAGACCTCCGGGCGAGTCCATTGACTGCTTCGGGGTTCAAGGAAGAACATTTGTGATAATTTCCTCATGAAAATGCAATCATGAGGAAATTATCATAAATGTTCTTCCTTGAGCTGCGTCACCCCGCAGCAGTCCATAATGGACTGGCCCGAGGTCTCGCTACAAACAAGCTTTATCCCTTTAAGACTCTTATAAATTGTTAACTTTAAGATTTCAATAGACAGTGTGACATTATTTCATACTTAAGTTATTTCAGTGATGGTGGAAACTGGATTTATCTATGCACAAACAAAAGAATTTCAGTCTGTTGTATCGAGCTTATGATGCACTATGTTATGCCACTCAAATGAGAAGACTTTTAAGCATTATCAACATTACATGTAGAAAATGAGACTTTGAGTGTGCAGATACTTAAACGGTGCAGTCCTGACTATGAGAGCAGAACAACCCTGGATGCAAATGTGGTTGACTGATGTTAAATTCGATAGCCAGTTGCAGAGAGACCCCGGTGAGTCAGACTTCAAAGCAGTCGAGATTGATTCAAACCTGGCCTGTTTAAAAATCTATTTCAGTGTCGACTGTGTTGCATTGCTCATGACAATCATTTAA